ATCTTTAATTAAATACTTCAAAAATCAAACAGTCCACTTGTTAGAGCCACTTTTATTTTTGCAATATAGCACCTGACTTAAAGAATTATATATAGGTAAAGAACCACTTGAGACTATTTTCGATTGGGTCCATTGTTATTTTATTTCATCTGATCTTAGATTCAACGTTAAAAGTCTAAAAGTAAAATGTCTTAAGTCAAACAAGCTAAAAGTTACCCTACACTAGATGTAGTATACTTGACTACCTAGTTACAACATTGCTAGTCGACTAGATCTACAGATGTGAAACACCAGTCAAACTATGATTAGAGTAGTCTGAAGTTTATACTAACTAACTAAGGTTCAGTCCGTCACACACAAGGCTAAGACTACTAGAATAGTATTCTAGATGTAGAAACTAGATCTAATAGTCAGATACTACTTGGTGTACACACCAGACAGTTTTAAGCAAATGTTAATTAGGCCTATACTAAGTATTTCTGAAATTCCTTTTTAATCTGATACTAAGATTAATGGAAAAGTGATACTTTAATGAGAATTTCCCATAATAATTTCCTGTGATAACATTTAACCTTTACCCAAGTCATCGCTCCTTGTCCTAAGCTTGCTGGTTAAATAAATATATTTCATTGATGAATAACAGTTAATAAATGAATGATACTTTTTTATTATTTCAGTTACTGGATGGGCTATCATCTCCATTACTACCAGCATTACCCTGGGTCCTGTTACCAAGTTGAGGGAATAGGTTTGTAGCATTATCTTTAAACAAGTCAACCATTTTATTCTATTATTCTGATTACTGTGTCCATCACTAGCTAAAATTAGAAGTTTGTTGTTGTTATAATGTGTTATATAATTCGATGGTCAACTTGAAATGTCCAAACTCTGGTTAAGGGATCTTTAGGATAAACTTGAAACATCCAAGCTGTAATTGTTCACTTGATTAGTCCGGGCAAGTTGTACTGACCACAGCATCTGTCTATTCTCAATGAAATAGAAATGTGATACATTTGTTGTAATTTACAGGCACATGAAGACATTTGGTTGTTGTTTTTTAAAAGCAGTTTTGAGTCTGATTTACTTCCTTCCAGAATTTGGTTCATGGGATATTCATACACTGCTAGATGGAACAACCTTCATCACATCTGTAAGTTTAACATGTTTCTTACACCTTTTTTTTTCTTTTTTTACATATTTCATAACATATTATTTACATACATCAAATACAGAAGGTTAGACATTCTTTATTTCTATATTTTATTTCTAAGATTGTATTCAAGTAAACATTTGTGGACTTTTTGTAAAATATTGGGTTAGTGAAGACATAATTTTTAGAAGTGGTTCTCTTAACATCACTAACTAGACAAAACAAAGTAATTTCATTCACCTAGCCTAGTACGACATTACTCATTCATTTAGCCAGACTTGATTGATATTATAATTTATTATGTTTTACCTATATAGTTGCTGTAGCTATAAGTGTTATCTATGCAGGGTGTGTGTATGAGTCTGTTGTCACAAAGTTTTCACGCACATTACAAGAACACTAATGCAGTTGGATCAGTGTACTTGATGTCACTCAACCAGACCATCCCAACTGTTACTAGGTTAGAGATCATTTCACAGAGTGAAGATTTTAAAGTAGAAACCTTTCGACCACATGGGATTAGTGTCTGGCCAGATTATCTCTCAGGTGATTTTAACAGCTCCAGCTGATTTTTTTTAAAGTAAGCAAAACTTTTAAGAGCTTAGTTTTTATTTTTATTTTATTTTTAAATATAAATTTTTACAAAGTTATTTTCAGTTATAATTTATATGTAATTCCATATTGATATAAATATGTATCAGTGAACATCAATATTACTCAAATTAAAATGATTTGACAATTTTTAGACATACACTAAAAAGCTGGCTGTTTTTACTTAATATAAACCTATATAAATTTGACTGTTTTAATGCAGTATTTCCAAAAAAAAATTATGAATATAAATACATTTTTCATTATTTTAACAAAAAAATAAATTGTTTTCAGTCTGGTTTCTTTTAGTATTATTTTGCCGTAGTAACATTAACATTATATTATTTGAGAAGTAGGCCCTGATTCACTTACCCTTTCTTAACCTGAATGCTCTTGTTTATTAAAACAGGTCAACACCTGATTTATGTTGTGAACCACCCGCTTAAAGAAGCCAACAGGGTGGAAAAGTTCCGTTTTGATCCAGCCCAGCAGTCACTTTATCATCTCAAAACCTACACTAGCAGTAAACTGAGATTGTGAGTTTTATTTTGTTTACCACTGGCTGTGTTTGTTTACCATATTTTCATGTGTTGGTTTTTCAATAAATAAACTGGCTGAGTTGTGTTAACCATTTCCTGATTTACTTTGCCATTGTTAAATGAGAACATTTAGCCTCACAAGTACTGTTTGTGTGACTGTAGGAATCTGTGAACTCTTCGTTACCTGCTATATAGACTGTTACTCGCTGTTAGTATTAAAAGAAAACTACCCTATCAACTTGTCTTAAATTTTTATTTTAATACAGTTTTGAATCTTAAATTTTTTTATTTTAATACAGTTTTGATTCTTAAATTTTATTTTAATACAGTTTTGATTCTTAAATTTTTATTTTAATACAGTTTTGAATCTTAAATTTTTTTATTTTAATACAGTTTATATTGTAAGTGAAATATAATACCTATTTAACACCAAAAAAAAATGTGTGTATAAAATTTTGAATCTTAAATTTTTTATTTTAATACAGTTTTGATTCTTAAATTTTTATTTTAATACAGTTTTGAATCTTAAATTTTTATTTTAATACAGTTTATATTGTAAGTGAAATATAATACCTATTTAACACAAAAAAAATGTGTGTATAAAATCTTCTAATCTTTTCCCCACCTTTTTCTCCTCGTAGAGTCTATGATGTTCAAGCCCTTGGAGAGGATTCCTTCTATGCCACCAACATCCTGTACGAGCAGAAAGTCAGGTTCTTCATGGTGCTGGAACTGTTCTCCCTCATGCCCTGGTCCAGCGTTGTCTTGTACAGAGAGGACATCGGCTTTAAGGAGGTCCTGACTGGGCTGACCAGTGTCACTGGCATTGTCATGTCCAAGTGTGGAAAGTTAGTTCCCTTTTTATCTTCATGTTGGCTGAAAAATTAATTATCAGCTTATACACTGTGATAACCAAGTTTGTTTGAAGTACAAATCAATTAATGGAGTATAATACAAATAATAATATAGCCAATTAATGCATGATTTTTATAATCTATTTTAAGGGGATATGCGCGGAAAAAAATCACAAAATTTCTGGTTTTTCGTCATGATGGGTTTCTTGCACTTTTGGATACTTTGTCCATTTTTGTATAAAGAAAATAATAACGTTAAAGAGAAAAAAATATTTTATGTGTTTGAATTACGATTTTTATGACCCTATTAATTAAAAAATAATCAATTTTTCCCAATCTTACAAGCTCTCTATGAAAAGTTTTATATCCGTCATTATATTGTATTTGACATCATTGGAAAGCTGGATTTCTCATGTATTTAATAAACTTAATTTCCTAGATTTCGGAAGCACACAAAGCTTACAATCTGCTTTGCAGTTTACACAGATATGGTACTTTCCTGACCTAGTTTTCGTTACTTTTGGCGGTTTTTCTCAGTTCGCAGGTTTTTAACACTAAAAAGCCTACTACTTTTTTATTTATTAAACAATGCCAACCATATTTTCAGTAAATGTTCTTGATGCGAAAATACAACTTTTGTCACGAGGGAATTGTGATTGCTTTCATAGAAAAAAAGTATTTGGTAATTAATATGCACATTTTGAAACTATTGAATACTAAAAAGGATACGATTTTTTAGACCTTGTAAAATTCTTACTAGTAATTATTTCAAAAAGTTGTCGTGACAAAAGTTTTAATATATACTGAAATATAAGCAGTTTAAATTTGATTGCTATAGGTGCATAAATAAAAAAGCCTTAGTATTTTTAAAAGTACCGAAAAATTCAAAATGGCGGAGGTGTTTTGGGTTTCCATGACAACCAAAATTGTTTTCGACCTTTTTATTTGCTGTTTAATACTTACTTTTATATGCCAAATATGATAAAAGTATTCAAAAGGCTTTAGATCTTAAACTGTAAAAAATAGAAAAAAACATAGCATATCCCCTTAAACTCAAACTTTGGTTTAAATGCAGTTTTAAATTAGTTTTAAATTTTTTATTTGAAAATAGAAAATGGTAATTAACAGTTTTAAACTTTAAAAACAATAAGCTTTATTTATATGATAGTGTTCCTTGTTCTCAAAAATCTTGTTTTATAGTTTTCATTATTTACAATTGTGTAAAGGAAATTTAAATTTTTTTCAGTTTTATTTATGTGGTTATGTCCCTGAGCTGTGAAATTCGAGTTTACTCACATCAAAAAGATGACTCTTTAATACTACAGCAGGTAATTTGTATGACTCTTTAATACTGCATCAGGTAATTTGAGCTAGTCAAGAAAATATTCATCTGTTTTTACCAGTGACAGCTATAATTGTTTACTTTTGATAATATAATTTGTGTTGATCCTTTCAGTCGTACCCTCTGTTTACACACCCAGACAATGCAGTGATTGATCCAGTATCAGGGGATTTGTTTATTGGCTCACATCCTATAGCCTATCAGTTCCTTAACCACATTGATAACCCTGGGAGACACAAGGCAGCATCACAGGTAGGAATGGTTGTAGTATATTTGCCATAGTCTGGTTGTTCAAAGCTGTGACGGTGTTGTTAAATCCCTGTTTACTTTCATGTTGCACATGACTTGACTTAGTCCTCTTTACTCTTTGGGGTATAGGGCCTCAACCATAACCTTCCATTTTTGCCAGTCCCCGGTTGATAGTTTTACAATCTCACAAGACATCCCACTGTCTTCAGTTCTTCAAGAAGACTCCAGGTTTGTCTTTCGATTTCCCTGGGGGTTTTACTCAAGCGGCTGTTGTGTCCCACCCAGCGCCACTTCTTCCTTCATTGCACTGTCATGGGCTCCTGCCTTGTCCTTTTCCATAGGTTTATGTTAGGCACCTTGTCTTGCCACATTAGTTTCAAGACATTCGTTTTGCATATAGATGCTTAAATATTTATTAAAATCTTTTAGTGTTATACATAAAAATAAAATAATGAAGTGCAGAAATAACTAACTTAAACAATTTATTCACTTCCATATTTTATTACATTTTAAGAGAACAAAAATACAATCAACTCATAAAAATGGGTCGGCGTGGTCGAGTCGGTAAAGCTCATGGTTGCTAAACCGAAAAGTCTCAAGTTCGAACCCTCGGGCAGATGAGGTTCTTTAGCTGGGGACAGCCACTCTTCTAGGAGAGACAACTTTAAAATCAAACAACTGCTGCCTTGTAGTTTGTTCTTTGTTGGACAAAGGCTATGGAAGCAAATCCAAAAAGAAAAGCAGGCTGAAATCGGAGTCAATGGCCTCAATGGCTCATAACCAGTTGACACGGAACCTTAATTGTGATGGAGGCGTGGTCGAGTCGGCAAAAAGCTCATGGTTGATAAATTCGATAAAAGTCTCGAGTTCAAACCCTCTGGCAGATAAGGCTCGATCCCTTCCAACACTAAAAATTAAGAAAAAAGAAGAAAAAGAAGAAGATAAAATTGTTAAGGATTATTTTTCTGCTAGCGCTGCTTCCCAAAACCTGACTCTAACCCTGATCCTGACCTAACTTCTGGCCTGCACTACTCATGGCCAAATCCTATTCCTATCAGCAATATCTGCAGATAAAAAATATTGATATGCCTACTGTAGGCAATTATCTATATTTTTATAAGAACCTAAATAAATAAATTTTAACCAAATGTTCAAGTAAAGAAATAGAACAGTCAGTGCAGATTTTAAAAAGTTGAAGCAATTATCTTGTCTACATTTTTATAGAACCCAAATAAATACATTTCAAGGGAAGAAACTGAACCAGTCACTGCAGCTAAAAAATAGTGTAGGCACTATCTTATCTTATCTTGTGTACATAAATAAATTTCAACCAAATGTTCAAGTGAAGAAACTGAACCAGTAACATAATTGTTACCATTGCATCTCCCCAGGTTTTGCATGTTCGGCTTATGGAAGGCAACATCACAACAGTGACCGAGTTGTTATACGATGATGGAGATCTGATATCTGGATCTACAGCGGCTGTTGTCTACAGTAAAAAGTTGCTTGTTGGCTCAGCTTTTGATAAACTGGTTATATGTGATGTCAGCGTACCAATATAGTGTTGCGTATTAGTGTGTTTATAATCAATAGTCATCGCAGTATATGTTTGATACACTCAGTTCTATTTCTTCTTGATTAAAGCATACAAATGTAAATGTGTTTTTGTAGCTGTGAATGTTAACCATGCACAATCTCCACAGCCTGATGTACTGCATGTATAAACGAGGTGTAAAATATAACGTTCATGACAAGGACTGGACCCCTGCACATTAATTAATGCTGTCAAACTTGTTTTCCTGTCAAACTTGTTTTCTTGTATATATGAATCATTAGTGCCAAAACTAATAATATTTGTTAGTACAGGATAGTAGAGTGCTAGTCAACTAACCCAAATGTCTCGAGTTTGAATCTCAGTTCTGACTTGAGCCTGCAGGATGTCCCAGAGTCCACCCAGCACTGATGGGTACCTAACATTAGCGAAAGTAAAGGTGACTGGGCATAGTGCTGACAACATCATCTATTCCATATGCATAGGTCAAGAAATGTATGTACTCTACTTCATCTGGATATTTAGATCTGAAATGGGAACTTCACCATAATATATATTCAAATTTATTCAATAGTAACATTTTTTATAATGTTTCTTTACTCTATGAATCATAATTTTGTTTTTTAATATGTGCAATATTGTTCATTTGTACCAGGTGCAATATGTCTGTTACACTTTACCCTCTACCCTGTAATTTAATTTTATATGTACTTGTCCTAGTTAAAATACAATTTTTACAAAAGATGTGTCTGAAGTTATCTTTGCTATTTTAAGTTTAACGTTTCAAGTGACCCCACTCTAAAGTGTGCGTTGTTGTTTTTTTTTTTTTTTTTTTTTTTTTTTTTTTTTTTTTTTTTTTTAAGTTTATAAGATGGTTTGTTGCAGGATTAAACTTTATTTTTGGTGCAGATAGTTTCTGTCTCATAAGCAGTTTCTTCCAGGCATCTCTTCTGGGGGGGGGGGGGGGGGGCTTCAAATGAACTTGAATTTTTATTTGTCTTCCGTCCCGGAAAATATCAAAAGTCCAGAAGAAACAGCTCACAAGCAACATGCCCAAATAAAACTGACTTGCCATCCAAAGTAGGGCTCAAAATCAACAGAAATAAAAATGTCAAATGAATACCTTTGACAAACCACAAGGCAACAGCCAATTGAGAGGGACATATAAGTCCGCATTATGATGGATCGGGCATGCTCTGAGAAAGGGAAGTCGATAACATCGGTAGGCAAGTGTAAGACTGGAATACCCAGGGGAAAAGTAGCATCCATGGAGAGTGAGGCAGAGGTTACCGGACCCCGCCGCATACGTGGGCGAAAATAAAGATAGCTGCTCAAAAAAAAAAAGAAGTCCAGTGGAGAGGTACGATTGCATACCATTACTAGTGTTTTTCTTCCACACTTTTTTCTCCGGGGGGGTACTGATAAAAGTATTTGTTTTCTGTATAAATTCCATTTCGTTCAGGGGGGGGGGCTTCTTCCCCCGAATATGACCATTACTCCTTGGGGGTAACTCCTATTTTCTATGCTGTATTCGGAAGTCTCTCGAATATGTTAGATTATAAGCTAACCGTAACTAGATCTAGTAAAGCCGACTAGTAATGTTCTAACTAGGAACAGTTAGTCGGAACAGTACCAGTCGGCGGTGGTTTGTATCGTGGTCAGAAGCTACGCTGAATTAATGTTTGATTTAAAACATTGCGAGGCTAACTGACGCTGAAATTACATGTCTGAGACGAAAAAAAAGTGAAATTAGTCTGTTAAGTCTTGTACATTTTCATTTCCTTACGTCTGCAATATACAACTCCGTATTGCAGCGCAAATATAAGCAATTTTACACCATTTTGAGGCCTACGATATAGCCCCCACCCCCAGCTACGCCACTATCTACGGGTTTCCACTTTCCTATGTACTATGTTTCATTTTTTCCATTTAGTTCTGCACGCGTAAAGAAAGTAAAATTCTTTAGCAGGTATCTTAATAGACCTAATCCTAATAATATACATGTGCGCACTTCTCTCTTTCTTTCTCTGTCCGCAGGCTAGGCCTCCCTAGGAGATCAGTATCTTCAGCAATGTATGGAGAACTTAATGATACAGACTTTTGTTGAAAATAATATGTTGGATGTATTAAAAAATGAAAATGTAGAATGTAGAAACATATTTTCAATTATGCAACCGGAAAAGTGTTTCTTGTTGTGACAAGAACGCAATAAAACATTGACGTCACACGTGACATGTTCTACGGAAAGTAGACAACACTAATGTCGTCATCTTCCAATGTTATAAAATGAAGAAATGAATTATTTCATTCACATTTGATTTAGAACTAGATCTAGATTCTAAAAATCTACTTATCAAGACGTATGCTGTGAAATGTATACAATTTTCTCGGCACAAACTAACACAAATGAGTTTTTAAAAAACAACATAAATACCATTGAACAGACGGGTTTTAACGAAATCAACTAAGTCTCTTAATCAGTGTGTGCAGTGGCGTAGCGAGGTCGGGTGTCACCCGGTGCGGCACTTAATGGTGTCACCCCCCCCCCCCCCCAGCGACGCTTCCCGGGGACAAAATTTCAAATTTTGAATTTGCACCCCCCCCCCCTCAAACTTTCGATTTGCACCCCCCACTCAAGTTTTTCTCTATATATTTTGCTATTTTTGGCCTTTTTGGCATATTAAGTAAGTTTAAGTTTCCCTTTCAAACCTGACGGTCTATGGGGCAAGAGAAGTAGAGTTCACTTGTTTCTGTGACCTCGACATATGAAGAGATATGTTCATGTGTGTGAACATAATTTGGTTTTAATTTTTCTAATAGGTATTAGTAACCTATGTTGTTTTAAAAGTGCCGGATTTATAGCCATTTAATTATTTCTTTGCTTTGTCACTAATATCGCTCAACGTGTATAGTTAAGTAATGTGTATTTACCAATAACTATTTTATAAATTATTTGTCTCAAACAAGTATAACATGAAAAATATATAGGCATATAATTCACGTGTAACGGGTACCGATGTCTAGTAATAATATGAGGCTCCGAATTGGGATCCAAAGAGGGGCTCCACAGTTGATCGCCTAAGTATGTTCATCAGTCTTCATTTTTACATGCTTCTAATTATTTAACTTGCTTTCGTGCTTAGCCTAGTGCTTTTAATACTTTAATCAGTGTGTCGCGCTCAGAGTTTCTTCCATGCATCTCTCCGGTATGCCCGAAGAAAGTCTACCGCCCCCCGAACAAAATGGAATGTATATAGAAAAGATATACTTTTAACAGTGTCCGCCCCAACCCCCCCCCCCCCTGAAATTTGAGTCCTCCCCCCCCCCCCCCCCCCCGAAAATTTCAAGTGCATCCCCGGAGAAAAAAGTCTGGAAGAAACACTGGCCGCGCTTTTGTCGTCAGAGATAGTTATTTAAAATGTAGTGTATTATTATAGATTAATTATTTAAAGAAAATATTTTTCTACTTTTTAAGTGCATAATAGATCTAGATGTATATATTTTATAAGCTTGTTTTAAAAACGTTTTTTTTTCCAAATCAATTTTTAGGTAATTTATTACAAGACAGTAAGTTACTAAATAGAGAAAATACGAAATTTAAAAAAATCATACAACGTATTTGGCTTATATCATAATTTCTGAGATATCTGAGGCCCAAAAGACATTATTTGTTTTGTTAGTTAGTCTAAACTTGCTTTTCCAATATTATTTTATTCCTTCGCCGGAAGCTGTGCGCAATATTTCCTTTTCCGCTAAAGTCGCCATCATGGTAAGACAGCATGTCTAGTTCACTAAATTTTTATTTTGTTTATATTGAAAATTAATTCGAATTCAGTATTTTAACTATACAGCGATTATGAAAACTGAATGTTAAATAAAATGCAACTAATGTAGTCCCATAAAGGTTAAGTTTGATTTCTAGTCGTAAACCATGGCGTGGTTATTAACATGGGATTTTCCTTGGTCTTCCACCGCTGGTTCATTCATATTCTGAAGAACAAGCCAGGTATCTGACGTGTTGCAAAGCATTTGAAAACACTTAGCAAGGGTTTACATTTATTTGATATCCATTAACTAGCATATTTCTCCCTTGTTCTCCAGTAAAACATTTAGATCTATGCAGGATCTGTCTCCCATTAATTTTTAAAAATAAAAAACTTAAGCAGAGTTCTACACATGCCCACAGATTTTGTGCCAGAAAAGCATTTTAAAATTTACTTTGGGCAATGAAGGCTAAATTTAAGTTAGTTTCAATAAAACCAATACCAGAGACACTCTACTGGTTTTTTAAAAATCGCCCCCACATCACAATTTCTTAAATTAAGCCCAAAATGAATTACGTTGTGGAGAAAAATGTCTGGTAGGGCCTGTAGAACAGCATTCATTTTGCTGTAGTCTCACCACGTTAGTCTTGAAAAAACTACAGATTCATCAACTTGATTATAAAACAGGATGATTCAAGGTACAGTTGTCCGATAACAAGACTGCTAAAAGTAAAGGTGTGCTAGGTCCATTTTTCTCAAGTCTAAAATTTACTCAATTTTCAATTTAACCCTCTTAAGTCTCAGAACATAGCTTTATTTGAGACGGTGCCTACTATTAAGCTTTGCACTTTTATCACACAAAAAATAATAGTAGGCTCTGCCATGAAGTGCTAGAATGAACTAAGTAAGAATCAATCTGATTGGCTGATATGATACTAGAAAGCCAATCATGTGGCTTCTACTATCAGCAGCTTGTCTTTAGCTATTAAATCGGCGACCGATAAATTGGGCCCGTCGCCCCAAGAGGGTTAAACATGACCACTGAATAATAGATATCCATATTTAATTCATTAGGCACACATTTTCAAGTATTTAGTTCTTTACTTATTTTAATATTTACTATCACTCATTGCCATGGCGCGACACACCTAATAAGGTCACAGGATTTAAGACGAAAGATCTGCGGAAGTCATGCATTCATTGTGGACGCTATATTGTTGTTAGTAACAGGCTTCACCTCTAGGTTAGCAATCACTCAACTAGTTAGGGTTAGGCCTATGGTAGGACTGTATGAGTAACCTAACACACCTTTTAAAAGTTTCTATTATCGGCGCTTGTAAAAAAAATACCCCCAATACAGTCAAACCACAGTCCAGCTCCTCCCCAGTCAATATACTGGTGGTGGCCGTTCCAACCTGTGGATACTAAGTATAACATCTGTCATCGCTATGTGGCTTGTTTTTGTAAACATAGTCACACGTAATGTCAGATACATATTTTTATTCAGTAGTCTTTGTTTCTTTACATGGTGAATATATTCTGACTTGGCAGTGGTCTTAAGTTACTTTTAGTTTGCTACATAATTTTTAAATCTAGGCCTATATGATTACTAAATATTAACTTCTTAGCAAATATTTGAACCTTTAGGTATATGGTATAGGCCTAAACTTTCTCTGACCTAAATGTTGAGCACTCGATAACATTTACTCCAGTAAAACTAGGTCCAAATATTTTTTTTCTGCCAAAAAAGAAAATGTTTCACTGTTATTTATTTTTTTGGGTCCATGTTTTTAGCTAAGAGGGGTTGTTTAAATATAGGCCTAGGCCCTATCCATTTATTTTAATAAACAGCCAGTTAACACCCTTTAAGCATTTTTTTTAAAGGTTTTGAGGATCATAAATTCTTGAGAAAAAATTTATGTGCATTATGATTTACTTTTTAGATGTGCTATGTTATTACAATTTTTGCAGATATGAATGATAAAAATAGCTAGTGTTTTTTTTTATCAGAAATTTCTGTTTTCTTCAGTCAACTGTAATTGCATAGTATCTTGAAGTCTCTTTTTGTTGTTGAGTTTTGCTTGTGACATTCGTGTTTTCAATTTATAACCCACAGTCCAGCTCCTCCCCAGTTTTTATACTGGTGGTGGCCGTTCCAACCTGTGGATATTAAGTTAAATTTTTTTACATCTGTCATCGCTATGTGGCTTGTTTTTGTAAACATTGTCACACGTAATGTCAGGTACATTGTCATGCAAAATAATTTATAAGTGATTTAATTGTACAATGTTCCTAGTCCTGTCTTTTGAGTTTATTTTAGTGTAACTGTCCTTTTGCCTCTTACTACTCTAACCCCTGCTGTAATTGAATTAATGCACCCTATGCATTATTTTTTGTTAATGCAAATATTTTATGCAAGTTCAAGAAAAAAACTTGTAGTTGATACACTTGTCATAAGCATGCACAATACGTAACAAATTATAGTGGGTTTAATAGTGCCTAATTTCTGAGTAGCTACTCAAGGTATAAATCTACAAACCACAGTCCAGCTCCTACCCAGTTTTTATACTGGTGGCGGCCGTTCCAACCTGTGGATATTAAGTAAAATTTTACATCTGTCATCGCTATGTGGCTTGTTTTTTTGTAAACATTGCCTCACGAAATGCCAGGTACATTTTTAGTTCCTGAGGGTTATCATTAGGAATAATTTAGATACAAGTGAGCAGCATTCATTCTTTCTCTAAGTAGTGGCTTGTCCAAACTCTGAGATCTAACAAAAATACCCACAGTCCAGCTCCTCACCAGTTTTGTACTGGCTGCGGCCGTTCCAACCTGTGGATATGAAGTGAATATTTATTCACATCTGTCTCGCTATGTGGCTTATTTTTATTGTTAGATATTGTCACACGTAATGACAGTTACAGTTCATTTATTACTTGTTTATAAACTATTTTGTAGCTATAAATTTAGATTTCTTTAGTTATTGCTTATGCTCATTAATAATGCTGGTTTTAAAATTCTGATTTTGTCTAAACTTTTTCTTTTTTACAGACTGTAAAGCGAAGAAACAACGGACGTAACAAGAAAGGCCGAGGCCATGTTAAATATGTACGTTGCACCAACTGTGCACGCTGTGTCCCTAAGGACAAGGCCATCAAGAAATTTGTGATCAGGAACATTGTTGAGGCTGCCGCTGTCCGGGATATCTCTGATGCTTCTGTTTATGAAAGTAAGATAATGGGGTTGATATTTAGAAATGTTAGCATCTGGCATGTTTTGCAGTTCGAGCTACACACTTGCTACAGGTGCATGTGTGTATTTTAGAAACTGCAGGCATTGTCTGAGTCTGTCTGCTTTGGGGTTGACCAATAGCTTTGGTTTTTCTTCACTTTAGACAGATACATTTAATGCTAGATTAACATTGGTTGACTGTGTTTCTGCTCCACCTCTAATGAATAATGCCATATTCCAGTGTACGCCCTACCCAAGCTGTATGCCAAGCTTCTTTACTGTGTGTCTTGTGCAATCCACTCCAAAGTTGTAAGGAACAGATCAAGGGAAGCTAGAAAAGACAGGACACCACCTATTAGGTTCAGGCCTATGCGCGTAAGTACATTTTAAAATTTAATTTATAAAATAAGTTGATTTATGCCTTAAAACGTGATTTCCTGTTTATTTGTTTTTTAATTTTTTAACTGAACTTAGTTTTAAATTGGTTTTATTTTTATTTCAGGAAGGACAAAGTGGTCCAAGGCCAGGTGGTCAAGCTCAAGGTGCTGGGCGTAGTAACTAAATTTGATAAGTTTGAAGTTGACAATAAACTAAATGTCTAAGTAAAAGTGTTCTTTTTATTATGTGTGTGCCAATTTCTGTATTAGTCTTGTTTGTTGCACTGGTTTCTGATAACCACGTTAGGGGTGTGTAGAGCTAGCAATACATTCTAGAGGTTGTAGTTAACTTTGTTGCATCCAAGAATGCACTTAAAACAGAAGTTACCATTTTTGTGACATTGCTGTATGTGTTAACATATCAAACAGATGGGGACAGGGTGGAACCACTTATAATACACTACCTCTGAAAAACCATGAAATAATCAGAATTTTATATTCTTTCAATCCCCCACACCTGGCTAACCCCTGAATCTATTATTTTACTATACTTTTCCATCTGAATTCTTTGTGTAAATTTATGACAACATACACACTTCTTTTAGCTGATTACATTTCTTGTTCAAATGACAGACCACTATTACGTTTAGGCCTAAGTCTATAAACACGGGGGGGGGGGGGGGAGGGGATTAAAAAAGTAGCCTACTTTTGAGACGTAGCATTCCTGGTCATACTCATAGGCAGTGATCGGACTTTGTGATGAGTCGATGGTCAGATGTGTGACGTCAGGCATTAACATTACGTAAACATAAATTAACTTTAGTAAATAGTTCGCGTTTAAAAAAAATATCGCTGAGCATATCTTACTCATGTAACATAATGAAGAAAAAATTAGACGAAGAGATGCATGAAAGAAATTCTTCTGTTAGAATGCATTAAATTTTTGCGAATCTATATATATAATTCTCTTCTGGGATCAGTTAGAAAACAAGCTGCAAGCGCCTCCTTGCAGTCCCCTCTCTTTCTCTCTGTCACTACCACACCCCACCCCAACATTGTCTGGTGAGCGGTGTTCACTCTAAATGTTTACAAAGCTAAATGTTTACAAATCGTACCGTACAGCCGGGTTTCTATTAGGGGCAGATAATTTAGTTCGATTTTAAACTTACAGGAGGTAACTAAGAAATAACTAAGAGGAGGCTGCCTTCACGGGGGGGGGGGGGGGGTAGTGTTTTAAAGCAAATATTTTCAGTGGCAGCATTGGTACTGTCGAATTCACAAATTATGAATTACTGAAAAGTAGAAAATAAAACAACTAAATAGCGGCGTATGATACGCTGCGGGTCGGCTCGTGTTGTTATAATGACTAACTGGGACCATATTTTGACAGTAGCTAATTTCAAAATGTTAGATATAAAAATAGAGATCAAAGATGCACGCCAAGGCTATAAGTACTGTCTTTCTTCCAGACTTTTTTTCTCGGGGGGGGGGGGGGTGGCAACTGTTATTCGCCGCCCGCCCCCGATGAGATGTCTTAAAGCAGCACATTCAAAACCCAGGATATACAGTTAAATGGATGATTGTTATCTCTATATATAATTCTCATCTGGGAGACGCTAGAAAACAAGCTGTAAACGCGCTCCCTGCCACCCCCACCCGTACATGGTCTAGTGAGCTGTGGTGCACTCTAAATGTTTACAAACAGAGCCGGGTTTAGTGACGACTATTAGGGACAGATAATTTAGTTTGAAACGATTTTAAACGTAGGGGGGGGTGGGTAACTAAGTGGAGTTTACTTTAACGGGGGGGGGGGGGTTCGTCCTTAACGAGCTACTTATGGTGTTTTAAAGAAATATTTTCAGTGGCAGCGTTGGTAGTGTCTGTCGAATTCACAAATTATGAATAACTGAAAAGTAGAAAAAACAACTAAGCGTATGATATGCCGCGGGTCGGCTCGTATAATATATTTAAATAACGTGTCTATGCACCGATAGTCCTGCGTATTTACATTTTGCACAAAGCCCCTTAGGATTTAAAATGTTGGGAACCTACGGTCGTGTGTAGAAATAAGGTTGCAATTTGCTGCAGTGGGGGTGGGGCGTTGTTTATTGACATCATCGAATGAGGATGCCGTGTTTCTTCCAGGCTTTTTTTCCGGGGGGGGGGGCGGACACTGTTAAAAGTATATATTTCCTATATAAATTCCATTTCGTTCGGGGAGGGGGGGGGGCGGTAGATTTTCTTCGGGAAGAGATGCCTGGAAGAAACTCTGTGAGGATGGAACTTCAAGAAATGTGAAATAGAGGCCAGCACTTTTAATGACAAAAAAAGACCATGCTGATTTCGGTCAGCAATGATTTTAGAGGGTGTGTTTGAAATTTGTGTGACATAAGAGGGAGGGGGTGAAAAATAGAAAATAGCGCTCGATCGAGGTCATGATAATTAAAAATTTTATAGGCCTATGTGGCGATTGTGTGGGCAAAGACAAGCCGCCGTGTAGCCTGTTAGGGGTCATCCATATATGGCGTCTAATATCCCAGCAGAGGCATTAAAGCAAGGTGGAGAAGTAGTAAATCGACTTCATAAATTACTTAACTTAGTCTGGAACACAGGACAGATCCCAACCGATTGGAAAAGGGGCCTCCTTGTGAAGTTGCCTAAGAACGATGACTTATCTTAGTGTGGAATATGGAGGGGCATTACATTGTTGTCCATACCAAGTAAAGTCCTTACCAGAGTTATTTTGGACAGAATGAAAGAGGCGGTTGACCTAAAGCTAATAGAGGAACAAGCAGGATTCAGGAAGGAAAGATCTTGTACAGATCAAATAGCCACTCTTAGAATTATTGTAGAACAGACGATAGAATGGCAAGCCCCGCTTTACATCTGCTTTGTTGACTTTGAGAAGGCCTTTGATAGTGTGGATAGGCAAACTATATGGAATCTGTTGAGACACTATGGTGTACCTGCTAAGTTAGTGGAAATAATCCAGCAACTTTACAAAGGATTTTCATGCCAAGTTAGCCATGCAGGGAAACTGTCTAAAGAGTTCCAGGTCAATACAGGTGTGAGACAAGGATGTCTGCTGTCGCCCCTCCTCTTCTTGGTGGTTCTCGATTGGGTGACACGCACAGCCTATGCCAGTTCTGGAAAAGGTGTTCAGTGGACACTCACGGGGAAACTAGAAGATCTGGAGTTTGCAGACGATCTTGCCTTACTCTCGCACAGGCTACAGGACATGCAAGAAAAAGTTGATGCATTAGGAGCCATCTCTCAGCGCGTAGGTCTCAAGATCAACAAAGAAAAGACGGAAGTGATGAGAATTAACAATAAACAGGAGGCTCCAGTGACAATAAACGGAAGACAGGTAAATGATGTGCAAGAGTTTGTCTACCTTGGCAGCAAGATCAGCAAAACGGGAGGCACAGAGGAGGACATACGCGCTAGAGTTAATAGAGCCCGCTGCGCTTTCACAGTCCTGCGACCCATATGGAAAAGTTCTTCCATCTCCATTACCACAAAAATTAGGATATTTAACTCTAATGTCAAGGCAGTTCTGCTGTATGGAGCAGAGACATGGAGAGTCTCCAAGGCAAGCACAGCAAAGATACAGACCTTCATGAATAGATGCCTTAGACAGATACTGAAACTGAGATGGCAGGACAAAGTGCCGAACTTGGAACTATGGAGGAAAGCTAGGCAAGAGCCTATGGGTGTGCAAATAAGAAGGAGGAAGTGGCGCTGGGTGGGTCACACACTGCGAAAGGCTCACACAAATGTTACACGCCAAGCGCTTGAGTGGAACCCCCAGGGAAAGCGGAAGAGAGGGCGCCCAAGACAGACCTGGAGGCGGAGTCTTCTTGAAGAACTGAAGCCAACAGGGATGTCTTGGGAGATGTCAAAATTAATAGCCGAGGATAGGAAGAAATGGAAGGAAATGGTGGAGGCCCTATGCTCCATAAGGAGCAAAGAGGACTAAGTCAAAGTCATATATGGCGTCACGCTTTTTTTTTGGCCGATTTTTACCTCCCCTCCGTCACACGTCGTCACTCGTCACAAAAAGCCAGCCCCCCCCCCCCCTACAATGACGTCACACCTCAGCCTACAACCCCCCTCAAAATTGATGTTGAATTTTTCTTAAAACATCGAGATTTTTCCAAAATCTTGTCAGAACTCTGCCAACATTGAGTATTTTGATCAATTTCTATTACAATTTATTAAAATAATTTTCTAAAACGCGAAATAACGGCTAAAACTCGTTTTTAACTCAGCTTTTTTATAATGCAAAAAAGTGAGTCACACCTTCTGAACCCCCTCCCCCTAGTCACACACGGTCACAAAATTACGCCCCCCCCCCCCCCCCTTATGGACGACCTCTTATCCCGAAAGCAGCCTCGTTCACCTTGCAAGGTAAATGCAATGGATGGCCAACGCCGTTTTTAGCTGACATTAACAAAATAAAACGAGTGGTTCTTTAAAATAGTTGGCCCTTGATCAGAACCTTCTCTTTATAATTTACCGGTGGTTAAAACTAGTCGTAGGCCCCTAGATCTAGATGTAGTTGTTTTCTGCCATAAAAATCAACATTAAATCCTATTATAGGACAATGCTTGGTATGGTAAGTCTATCTTAACGACAACATACACACAGTATTACACAGTGGTCATTCGGTGCTGTATGCATGAGTATTTCCATATCCATTGCACGCAAACTTGTTTTGATTTAATGTAAGTTAACTTTTTTTTTTTACCACGGCGTTTTATTTTGCTTTGTTTTTATATTTTCCCACGTGTACATATCCATTATCCATACGTGTTCATTCCAACGAATGAGGTCAACAAAAAACCTCACTAACGCGCGGAATGTTTCATCATCGCTTTTCAGTACTACTTTTTAATTTCCGCGAAACCCCTTTGCCTAGGCTGGTCCAATCATATTTTTACTTGGTATAATTCGCGCCAAACCCGCCTCCCGAACAGCTGGAAACTTTACTGATAAAGAAGGGCACTTGAACTAACGCCAAGCAAATATCGGGATATCATAGTCCGTTCTGAATCTGGGGTACCGCTAACTTGACTGTGCTTTTAGACCAGGTGACTATTAATTACTAGATCGATCTAGACCTAGAATCTAATTGTGTACGATTTAAAATGTAGACTACATAGCCACGTACATTATAATAATAAATAAAATATTTAATTCAGTCACTAGTAAGTAGTAAGTAGTGGCCTCTTAATTTACTAGACTAGATCTAAATTTAAATTACTTACTTAATTACACTCAGCATTACTTACACTTAGATCTAGAATCTAGATTCCTAGATCTAGAATCTAGATCTAGAAGTTCTAGTACATAATACAATTAATACATAAACGTCATAACAATGCCATAGAATGTTAGTAGAATCATACTCATACTCATAGAGATGGAGTCTAGTTACGGTTAGCATATAGATCTAGTATAGTATAGAATATTTCAATATAGATCTAGATCTAGTAAGATCTAAATCTAGACTCTCTAGATCTAAGTTTTAAGACTAAAGTTCTAGATCTAGACTATTCTAGACTCAACTTGCTCAATCTAGATCTAGAGACAATCCAGGCATCACTATTGAATACTATTGTTAACTATAAAAAATATTTTCAATATGGAACCTTAAAGTTATCCCCAGTGATTGCCATAGGCTAGATTAGATCTAATGATTTGTTTCTTGATACTTCAATACTTGACAAAAAGCCTACAGATAATCATTATAATGATAATGTCATTGAATCTAAATAATTATGCTCTGTAATTTTAGCATACAGGCCTATTGTAAGTCAATGTTTAATGAAGTTTATTTATTATTTAAATACATTCCAGGTGTTCACTGGTTGTAAAAGTTTAAATTAAGATCAGCTGTCAAAATGGCTCAGTCTTTAACAGCTTCGTTCACTGTTCGTAAAAGCACCCGCTTGAGTAGCAGAAGCAAGGCTGGTAAAATAGAACTGGAAGGAAAATCTTCAAATAGTCCACATACTACTGTTAACAAAAGTAGGTAGTTCTAATATTTTAACCAGATTTTTTAAAGATTTATAGCAATTTAATGATTAAGTGGCTTTAAGCAGTACCTGAACAATGTTGCATATGTAATTTTTACAGTTGAGGAGCAGTTAAGTTCTTTAAGAAAAAGAAATGGTTCTTTCCCAGATGTGAGAGCTCTGCTACAGCACAAGACCATAAGCGTAGATGATGGTAGAAATTCAGGTAATAATTTTAAATGTATGTATGTATGTCTTATAATTTCATCTAAGAAAGTTTTTATATTAAACTAACATTTTTGGAACAGCATTAATAATTTTGTGACTCTAAAAGGAAAATTTAATCTATTTTAAATTTCAGCTAAAAGTGTGGAACTCTCTCCAGAAAGAAATGCAGTAAACAGTGTCTTAGATTTAACACCACAAACACCTTCAGCAGATGATCAGGTGCAGCTTCGTCACACAGGTCTTACAGGAGGTATTTACTCTGCCACAAGTTTTTAAATTATATTGCTACCATGTTTACTTTTTTCAACCCCAAACTGTATGTAATTATTTCTAAATAAAAAAAAATTGCTAATCAGAATATTTTTACTTGACATTTTCAAAACAGATTTGGACAGAGTGTGCAGACGATTATTATCCCCAAAGAAAAGAAAATCAAATGAAGAGAATGATTTGTCGAGTCTCTCGCCAGTAAAGTCACCACGAGCATCCCATGCCATTAGATCTCCTCTCAAATCTTCTTACCTAAGTCCTATCTCTTTACTTCGATCACCTGAAACACCTACATCAACCAAGAAAGGTGACAAAGGTGAGATTATTAAGAAACATAATTACCAAATTCAGTTTTAATATAAAAATTAAATCGGTGTGATAGTTATTTGTTATTTTTGTCAACCTTTATTTAATTGCTTTTTTTTTTTTGCCGACGTCAGAACCAAAATCAACACCAAGAAGACTTTTTAAATCTCCACATAAGAAAGTTAGTGAAATCAGTCCTCTGGTGACGTGTCTCACAGTTGCAAGCAACAGCTCTGTTCCATCTCTTCAGCTTTATAAATCAAGCAGTAAGTGCTTTCATAACATCCAGCTATATTTGTACATTACTGCAGTAATTGTGTGTACTATCTTTGTTTGAAAACTTATGTATACCAGTCAAAAGGTTGAATTAGGTCGGAGTAATCTGGAATCGTAGCAAATTCAGTTTTATTTCTCTTGTAGCTTCATCTTACCAATCAGCAAAAAGATCTCTGCATACAGCAAAACCTGAGTACCTGATTGGCAGAGATACAGAGGAGGCTGATATAGAAAAGTTTATCTGTGAGAAGCTAGACAAGAAAACAAGTGGCAGTCTTTACATTTCTGGGGCTCCTGGCACTGGCAAAACTGCTGTTGTCACCCATGTTATTGACAAGTTAAAGGTTAGCAAATAATTTGATAGACTTGATAGTAAAGCTGGTATTAGTTCTCCTCCACCGGATGATTTAAGATGGGTGTTGAGTTTTCAAATTTTAAAAAATTCTGACTTTTATGGAGACAACAGTTTTATATTTGTTACAGTAATAATACTAGCATACTGTATGTTGATTTTAAAATTACTTTTCCATAAAAATTTTAAATATTTGAATATAGTTCCTCTATTGAAAATTTAATGGCTGTAATATAATTATATAACCTTTGGTTTTGACTGTGCAGGCAGAGAACAGATGTCTGCGGACAGCTGTAATAAATTGCATGATGCTGAAAGATTCCAATGTTGTGTTCAGACAAATGTATGAACAGCTAGAGGGTTCACCAATCAAGTCTAAGGATTCAATGAAAGCCGTTGAGAAATTGTTCATGACAAGTAAAGATAACATGTAAGCCTTTCTATCCTCGTTAACATTAGTATTCAAGATATTTTTCAAAAAGCATTGTGAAAGAAATGAGATTCATCAATGCAGTGCTCTGTTATTTATTAATTTTTTCTCTCTCTAGACTTTTGGTTTTGGATGAAATTGACCAGTTGGATAGCAAACACCAGCACATACTGTACCGTATATTTGAATGGCCTGGTTTAGAAAGTTCTAAGCTTATACTAATTGGTAAGAGATTTGTTCATTCTGTGGTTCGATAATATTTTTCTGCTGAATATGTTAATTAAATGTAAAATTCTTGTTGCTAGGTATTGCTAATGCTTGACCTAAGTGGTTGTCTTTCTTGTTGCTAGGTATTGCTAATGCACTGGATTTAACTGACCGTGTGTTGCCTCGTCTGCAAGCTTCAACAACATGCAGACCAAACCTAATGAACTTTGCACCCTACACATCTGCTCAAATTACTGACATTCTTAAACAAAGATTAGAAAAGGTAAGAAATTTTAGAATACTTTATAAACCATTGAGCACATGAGCCAAATATTACAGTATTTTTTACTGAGACATGTTTCAACTTTTCAGGAAGTGATAATAGAACCCAGCGCCATCAACTTCTGCGCTCGCAAAGTTTCTGCTGTTGCTGGAGACATGAGAAAAGCTTTGGATGTCTGCCGTAGGGCTGTAGAGATGGTCGAGTCAGATGTCCGCACACAGCAGGTTCTAAAACCAACAGGTATTGATTCAGTCTTGTCCTCTTTCAGTTGATTCTTTATACAAACTATACATGTGTAAACACTCCCACAGAAAAATAAAGTTTTTAAAAATTAATTTGTGCAATATTTCTCCTCTAGATTGTAATAGTCCTACCAAAAAGCACCAGCAAACACCCATGAAAAAAGTGACCATTGCCCACATCTCTAAAGTCATGTCTGAAGTGTACGGATCAAGCGTGACCAGTTCTAGCAGTTGTGAAAACTCAATCCCATTGCAACAAAAACTTGCTGTTTGTTCTCTGCTCCTATTGGTCAAAAATGGGAAGGTCAAGGAGGTTTTACTAGGAAAGGTAAATCACCATGATTTTCATTATTTATGTAAAGATATGTTGTACATATTGGGGGCATATTATCAGTGCCATTGTCTATTTCAGCTCCATGAAACCTATGTCAAGGTCTGCAAGCGCCAGCAGATGCCTTCTATTGACCAAAGTGAATTTTTTTCTGTTCTGACTTTTCTGGATTCTAGAGGTGTCATAGCTTTAAAGAAAGCTAAAGATACAAGACTCACAAAGGTAATATCTGCTGCTTATTTGTGTAGTTTTACAATGTTTACACATCATTCTAAGGAAACCATGGTAGTTTCATTGTATTAATGCTAAAGAAATCTTTCCCAGGTTTCTCTAAAACTGGATGAATCTGAGCTGGAACAAACTCTCAAAGACAAATCACTAATGGCAACCATCTTGAATGCTGGGATACCAAAGTAACAGTTTACAGTTGTTTTACCTATTTATTGTAATTTAAGTCTTTCAGAAATGTCTAGAAAATTTTTAATGAAATTTTAAAATGTTTGCATGTGTGTACATACATGTTCCCAAAGTTTTAATGAAATAATAAACTATTACTATACATGAACTCAACTGTTTATTTACATTATTGTACATAGAAACCATCTTACAACTGTTTTAAACATTTTAACATGGCTTCTTTTATTTTGAGCCGCACATCTTCACTGTCACAAATGATGTGGGTTGAGTTGCTGTCAACTTGGATCAATGAATCCTCCTTCACCTGTAGAACAAAAATAAATGTAGTGTTGTTCAAGTTATAACATCCACATAAATAATCTAATTTGGGAGTATTTTTATGAACTTCTAGACAGAAAATAAAGCTAGCAAAGAAGAACAAAAAGAAAATCTAATTACCAGCAAGATTTTATGTTACTATCCTTTAATGATAAAATACCATTGACAATACTAAACAGTACAATTGCTAGAACTCTCAACTTACCAAGTGAATTATAGATCCAGTTTCATTTTCTTCCACTTTGAGTGAATTAAATCCATGCTGTTAACAAGAAATCATTTATATCACTTTGTCTTGTTGACATGCTGGCAGTTTATCATTTATAATTTTAAAAAAAAACTACAGCATCTTCAGGTTGCATGATTATTTTTCTTACATAAGCACATAACTTTTTTTCATTCCTTAAAACTTCATCTACATTTTAAGTTATTTTCCCAACCTGTTTGAGAGCTTCAACAATAGCATGCAAGTTTGGTGTTCCAAATATGTACGGCTTGCGCCACAGCAGGCTGCCATCTGACCTTCTCTTCCTGGACAACGGCACATTGGGCATGTTCTGGAGAATGTACTTGTTATTTTTGACCACCAGGGAGGCTGTTATCATGGAAACAGCTGATCCTGGCTTGACCTCCACTGGCTCCAGTGTGTTGGCCAGCTGTAGGGAGAATGAATGACAATTAGCAATTCACTTTTAAAAAAATTAGTGGCGCCTCTAAAAAAATATCTTTTTCTGGATTAATTAAACTTGGCAAGTTTATGTTTGATGGTTATGTGCAATGGGAATTTTCTTGGAATAGCAGGGAATTTTCTGGTAAAACAATTGTTGACACTCTGGAAATTGAACAGTTAGTTTTACGCTAAAAAACTACTTCCTTAAATTAATGTGACTTATAAAGACTACAACAATAATTAGAAAAAAAAATAATAATCAGAAAAAAAAACTACCTCAGGTTCCATTTCCACTGTTTCAAATTGTCTTTTGACTGGTAAGGAAATAATTTCACCTTGCTTATAAGTCAAAGGAGAAGGATCCTAAAAAAGAAGAAAAGAATTAAACTAAACAAACACAACCTGCTAATCCTACTATAAATACTGTACTGAGTTAAAAGTTTTCCTCACAAAGTCAATTGTGAGATCGTTCCTCAAAGGCTCAAGTAATGGAGGCCGCATGTATGTTTCAGACACCACCAGGTGTAGTGGCCGCAGGTCTCGGATCAATTTATTGGCCTGGGAGAAGTTGAGACTTGTGTCTATAGGGCAGTAGCACACCTGTGAATATCCAGTTTTGTTTATTAAGAAATTTATTAAGTCATTTTGTTAAAAGTAAAGGAAATGAAGTCCTTGTTAAAGAAATAGATATTTGTTAAGAAATGATCATTTACCCTCATAGCAACTGGTAAGAATGGAGCCAGGGCATCTAGATGAGGGAAATCAGGCTCTGAAAGAAAGTAGCAAGAAAGTAATTAGTTAATGACAAATAGGAAATAAGAAAAAGGCAACAAATAACAAAATCCAATATGTCTATGTTCAACGTATAAATAAAATAAACCTTCTTTAAAAAACTTAAGTTATATACAGTTTCATATTAAATTTAAAAAAGGTTTGAGAAAAAACATCAAATATCTTTGTCTTTTACCTACTTAACAATCATTTGTAAATTTGACTAAAGAAAAAGTTAATCAATCTATAACTAAGATTTTACCTGTAAATATGATGGTGTTAGCAGAAGAGTTGCCCCACATTTCTATAAAGTGGACAATATCTCCCATGCGAAGTGATGGATGACCAGCAAAGAGAATACAGGGAGTGTGAAAATCTGTTGTTAGACCGGCTGAAATCAAGAGAATACAGGGAGTGTGAAAATCTGTGGTTAGACCAGCTGAAATCAAGAGAATACAGGGAGTGTGAAAATCTGTGGTTAGACCAGCTGAAATCAAGAGAATACAGGGAGTGTGAAAATCTGTGGTTAGACCAGCTGAAATCAAGAGAATACAGGGAGTGTGAAAATCTGTGGTTAGACCAGCTGAAATCAAGAGAATACAGGGAGTGTGAAAATCTGTTGTTAGACCGGCTGAAATAAAGAGAATACAGGGAGTGTGAAAATCTGTTGTTAGACCGGCTGAAATCAAGACAATACAGGGAGTGTGAAAATCTGTTGTTAGACCAGCTGAAATCAAGAGAATACAGGGAGTGTGAAAATCTGTGGTTAGACCGGCTGAAATCAAGAGAATTCAGGGAGTGGGAAAATCTGTCGTTAGACCGGCTGAAATCAAGAGAATACAGGGAGTGTGAAAATCTGTGGTTAGACCAGCTGAAATCAAGAGAATACAGGGAGTGTGAAAATCTGTGGTTAGACCGGCTGAAATCAAGAGAATACAGGGAGTGTGAAAATCTGTGGTTAGACCGGCTGAAATCAAGAGAATACAGGGAGTGTGAAAATCTGTGGTTAGACCGGCTGAAATCAAGAGAATACAGGGAGTGTGAAAATCTGTGGTTAGACCGGCTGAAATCAAGAGAATACAGGGAGTGTGAAAATCTGTTGTCAGACCAGCTGAAATCAAGAGAATACAGGGGGTGTGAAAATCTGTGGTTAGACCAGCTGAAATCAAGAGAATACAGGGAGTGTGAAAATCTGTGGTTAGACCGGCTAAAATCAAGAGAATACAGGGAGTGTGAAAATCTGTGGTTAGACCGGCTGAAATCAAGAGAATACAGGGGGTGTGAAAATCTGTGGTTAGACCGGCTGAAATCAAGAGAATACAGGGAGTGTGAAAATCTGTGGTTAGACCGGCTGAAATCAAAAGGGATGTGGTAACACTTTGTTGTTACATAGAGGAAGGTAACCCTACATGGTACATAATGGAAGGTAACACTACAAATTACATAGTGGAAGTTAACATTGAAGGTTGATACTTAAAATACATGTAAAATGTCACATAATATAAGTTACAAGTGCAAGCACTAAATCACCTGTAAGTGCTGAAATATTAAAGCCGTCTACACTACCAAAAAACATGGGTGTTAAATTTACCTTCAACATTAAAGAAGACTTACTGTGTATACTGGAGAAGTTTTTTAACCTGCCCTTGCTCAGTAGCTGGGGACATAAAAAAAAAGATTACAATACTGATACGTTAAGGAAAGTGATAGGAAAAAACAACACAGTTTTACTTACATCTGCATGGGGAAAAGGACATTCAGGTAAAAATACTTTAGACTGCTTCACTGAGGACAGCCTGAAATGTAACAATTACTTATTATGTTGATTTGATTAGTATTAAAAATTATCTTAATTAAAGTTAAACTATATGTTTTTTAATTAATTTTTTTCTTCTTTTAGCAAAGATAGTTTATGACAGAAATTTATATTAGTTCTTTAGTTTATTATTTTCATTCAAAAATTTTAGTTTATGGCAGTAATCTGGATAAGTTTTTTTTTTGTTATTGTTTTTTAGCATTGTTAGTTTATGTCAGTAATTTAGATTTATTCTTTTGTTCATTATTTTCTTTTAAAATACATAGTTTATGCCAGTAATTTAGATTATTTAATATATTAAAACACATTTTAGCATCAAACAATGCTGGTTTTGGGTGAGTACAACTAGTTGAATCAGGAAAAATCCAGTTACCACTGACTACAACTAGTTGAATCAGGAAAAATCCAGTTACCACTGACTACAACTAGTTGAATCAGGAAAAATCCAGTTACCACTCAGCAAAAATGTTGGAGTAGGCCAGGGTGCTGTCAGAGACTGGGGACAGGAAGTACATGGGGACACCTGCCAGGCCGCACTGTTCCAGGTGCATGGACAGACACTCAAACAGGTCAAAGGTCACACCTGAGGCATAACATGGCACCAGCACGTTACCTCCATTCTTTACAGTCACGGCTGGAACAAAAGATTAGAATACAGTGATGTATGTACATATGAAGAATATAATGAAAAATAACAGATTTGGTAATTAATATGCAAATTTTGAAACTTTTGAATATCAAAAAGTGTATGTTTTTTTAGACCTTGTAAAATTCTTTCTAGTAGCTATTTCAAAAAGTTGTTGTGACAAAAGTTTTAATATATACTGAAATATAAGCAGTTTAAATTTGATTACTATAAGTACATCAATAAAAAAGCCATAGCATTTATAAAAGTACCAAAAATTTCAAAATGGTGGAGTTTTTTTTGGGTTTCCATGACAACCAAAATTGTTTTCAACGCTTTTTTTGCTGTTTAATACTTACTTTCATGTGCCAAACATGGTAATAGTATTCAAAAGACTTTAGATCTTAAATTAGAAAAAATAGAAAAAAAACTGCATATCCTCTTAATCTATAGAACCACACACCAGCATTGACGCAGAACTCTCCTACTTTAGAGCTAACTTAAGCTGTAGAGCTAAATTCCAGATTGACACAGAACTCTCCTATCACAAAGTTAACTTAAGCTGTAAACAACATACCAGCATTGACACAGAACTCTCCTATCATTGGGTCAGGCAGTATCAAGGGTGTTTGTGTCAGGCAGCTCAGGATGAGAACATCTGCATTTTTTAAAGGTGCTTGGTCCATTGGCTGGTTGGAAAACAGCGAGGAGAGCAGGTAAATAAAGCTAATTGCATTATAACATTATCTACACTGACTGAAATAGCAACAGTTAAAAGTTAAAAATTGTGCTAGCATTGTCAATACATAAAAAAATATATTAAACCAAACAGGTGTCATCTTATTTAGTGTAGTTAATGCAATATTACTCACCCTAGGGTGTGTTGTCATTATTAACACAAGCAGCTAAACAAAACAGGTGACATCTTATTTAGTGTAGCTAATACAATATTACTCACCCTAGGGTGTGTTGTCATTATTAACACAAGCAGCTAAACAAAACAGGTGACATCTTATTTAGTGTTGTTAATGAAATATTACTCACCCTAGGGTGTGTTGTCAGAGTGGATGTTCCTGCAGCATAACAAATCTGTTGATGATACAGACATAGTACAATCTCTTTTTGTGTAAGTGCTGTGAACACATTGGCACACATGAAGGGGCAACCAAGCATGTCACTCAACAGATTAAAGACAAACCATTAACATGTAACCAAACACTGGACTAAATAAAACAAAGGCTAGTTAAAACAACAATAATAACTCAGCGTAACACAAGATAACACACACTTTTGAATGTAGTAGCAACTACTATTCTACACAGAACTGAAGGACACTAACCTGGTAGAACAAAATTACTTGACAGAGGCTACAAACCATGCTTATGCACATTTACCCTTACAAAAACTAGTACAAAATGGATGGTCACAACATGACAAGATAGCTCACAGCCTGAGTAGTGAATATCAACAAACAGGACAGGCTACTATTCTAAGTATAGACCAACATTTAACCCTTCACTACACTAAACAAGCACATATATAAACAGTAATTTGCTGACTCTCCAATGTTTTGCATTATAATCCTAACCATGTGAAATGGTGATTTTAATAGTCCATAAGGATATATTAGCTTGTTTTTTAATGGAAAACAATTCTCGTTACTGAACCTTCAGGAAAAGGATAAGATTTTTTCACTGGTTTGATTAGAAAATTTTTAAAATTTCAAAGGAAAATGCTTTTTGAGACTTATCAACATTGAAACTAAATCTGTTACTATGGTAACTTACAAAAAAATATATATATTCTTAGTATTACAACAAGAAATTAAAAACTAGTTATGATTTGATTCTTATGACCAAACCTTTTCATATTTCGAATTGATGATCCAGTTACAACTTCCAATACAACAGCCAGAGCTTGCAGGAGTCACAGTCAGGGCACCAAATATGTCCTGAACAAATCATAGGTAAACAAAAGCATTAGAGGGCTCTGAACAAATCAAACTGTGCATGTACTAACGAGTTGTACAAAAAATTAATTAATTACCAGTTTTTCACTAAATCCAACGAGCTGTACTTTAGATAGGGCGGAATTGATGTCATGCAGTGTGTACAACTTCCTCCACTGTCTAGGATTGATGGCATCACGAAGAGGAGTTGGCAGGTTCCTGAACAGAAATACATATTTAATTTGATTGGATAACAGAGGGACTACACAATTTCCTTAATATTATACAAGTAAACATAATTAAGAAATCTTTTATCAAACAAACATTCTTTTATCAAACAAAAGTTTGTAAAAAAAGAAGGAAAATTTGTGATTGAATAAAAAAGCAAGAATTTTATTACTCACTTGATTATGTTTTCCTGTTTCCAGTGTGAAGCAACATTAGACTTTGGGTTTCTTTCAACATATTTCACCAGTTCTTCCATGTATTGTCTACAATCAAAATCAGTGTCAAATCATTATTTTTTTCAATGCATGGGAAATCTGGCAATATAATGCCTCTATGCCTTTACTTAAACAAATTTCTTGCTATTAGTATGAGCTGGATGAACCTACAGTTCTCCAACAGATTTGAGCCTATGGAGGATTTGTGATATTTCTAACGACAGACCCTTAATTTTGTCAAATCCACCCTCCTCTCCCTCCATAATCCATTATAATAGTTAAAAAACACATACTATTTAATGTAACCAGTGTGATCCAATATTAATTCCTACCTCCCAATATGAAGAGTTGGTTCAGTCATATAAACTGTGCCTTTAAATCCAGTGTACTCTGTTATGTAAGGCAAGGCCAACATACAACTATAACTAGATATAAGTATGGCATCAAGTGTTGACAGATCTATGATACCAGTCTGAAAAACAGGGTGAATATAACTACTTTAGATCTATGATACCAGTCTAAAAAACAGGGTGAATATAACTACTTTAGATCTATGATACCAGTCTGAAAAACAGGGTGAATATAACTACTTTAGATCTATGATACAAGTCTAAAAAACAGGGTGAATATAACTACTTTAGATCTATGATACCAGTCTGAAAAATAGGGTGAATATAACTACTTTAGATCTATGATACCAGTCTGAAAAACAGGGTGAATATAACTACTTTAGATCTATGATACCAGTCTGAAAAACATGGAAAAAGTAATTACTTTTATGAATACAGCTTTTAACAAATACATAACATTTACTTGAAATAGGGCTGAGATGAGGGGGCAGAAGTAAATTGAGAACTTACTTCAGGTATTGAAAATTCAGGCGCTCCATCAACCAATATTCTACCTCCGCAGTCTTTTAATTCTTGAGCCTAAAAGTAGGTTCGGAAATGTGTATACCAATTAGACAAATTTTTTTTAGATATTTTAGCATATTGTGATAGAGTACATACTACTTAAAAAACTACTTTTCCAGCAATGGTCAGCAATAACATAATGATATTTTCTATTACAGACCAGGTGTTGATGAGACAGATCAAGTTATCTTCCATTTAATTGTTTGTGCATGGTCATTGTCTCAGATCTTCTTACAGAAAACTGCAATATAATTACAGATACAAATCTCAGATTAAAAATAAAAATTGTTACTTGGTTGAACCTACCACGTCATCAGACACTCGATTTCGTCTATCTCCTCCTTGACTCCATGCCCGAGCTTTGGAAACTTGGAATCTAAAAATGTAAAAAGTATAGAACCACAGAAATATTTTTTATCAAATCATACAGTAATTTAAATGTTTATGCACTTGTAAACCATAATTAAATTGCCTGAGCAATGGAAATTACAAAATATTAATTTTACTGATTGTAATAGAAAATATGATTTTTTTAATATAGTTTCCAGAATAATTGTGATAGGTAATTTACCCTGGGACAACAAGTAAAGGTACAAAGTGCAAAATTTGTTTAATATCAAGTCCACAATCTAGCATGATCCTCACGCCTTTGAAAAACAGGACAAAGCATGGTTTACTTGGGTTGTCGGAAAGGCAAACCTGTGAAATAATGGTTGGTATGTTAAAATGCACTCAAAATAAAATGAAACAGTAATCTCATGATGTAGCATCTGGAATTATCTGGTAATGTTTGTTGAGTTTGTAAACATTAGTTACAGTAAACCTTAGTTAACTAGTGAAAAATTATTACTAAATTAGAAAAAAGACTTGCATAACAGCATAAATAAGATTAGCATAACAGTATTTAACAATCAACTAAAATAGAAATCTATCCAAATTTGTAAACACTCTGTATTATTAAAAGATTTTACCAAATAAAATATGGTATACAGTACTTCCGATACAGTGTGGCAGACTGTTAGTGTTTACTTCTTTTTTTTTACTGCTAAACCTAACTTACTTTGCTTTTCATAATAAAAGCATTGGTCACCATGATTTTAAGATAAAATAACCAAAAATGAATTTCTCATTCTACTATCTACCTTAGCTAGGAAAAACTCCATTTTAGATTTTAGGGTATTCTATTATTATTAAATTTACTAGGCATGCTGCCCAGCTTCGCTTAGGCTTTCGAAAACATTGAGAATTTGAATGCTTAATTAATTCGCCCGAGGGTCGGTCTACGACCTCAAGAGTTATGAAGAGGTTCCTCCGTGGACATTTTTTTTCGATTTATAGCTCATATAAGGCACCGGTCAGTCGAGGTCAGTTTTGACCCCCTCATCGTAGACTTTTGGCCAACCGGCCCCCGTGTTCTGTCGCCCCAAGGCAAGATCCTGCCAAATTTGAAGCGCCTGCGGCGCCGGGAAGTGCCTTATCGGAAACCCGACAATCTAGATCTAGATCTAGAATCCTAATAGAATTTTTTTTTTTTAAGTTTAGCCCGAGCAAAATAAAAAAAATACATTAACCAAGTTGACTTGGTGTGTCTCGAACCCGCACCACCTGCGTGGTTTATGGTACACTAACATCTCCGCTATTTAGGCACCTTATAAAATACGGAGAATGAAAGACGTATTTTAAAATCTTAACTTACGCGAATATGCCTATTCTTTCAAATTAATTTTTTTATCCCAAATTAGCCAGTTCCAAACAAAGATTTTGTATAAATAAATTTAATGAGTTTAGGCCGGAAAAATTGTATTGTATACATTTCATAGTGTACGTAGATCTAAATCAAATTTGAATGAAATAGTTCATTTCTTTTTATTGAAAACACGGCAGATGACGTCATTAGTTAATGTATAAATAGTGACGTCACAGTTTTAAGCATTCTTCTTCACATATATAAATGCTTTTCCGGTTGCATAAATAATACTGTTTCTCTACATTCGAATACGCCTTTATTTTTTATTTTTCTTCTTTAAATAAAATTGTGGTTATACATTTAAAACATCTAGCATATTATTTTCAACAAAAGTCCGTAAAAAGTTCTTCATATATCGCTGCCGATTCTGACGTGATGTCCGCCGAAAATTTTTTGCGGACAGAGAGAGAGAGAGAGAGAGAGAGAGAGAGAGATGTGCGAACGTGGCCCATTATAGATTTAGATAGGCCCTATAAACAAACACAATCAATCAAAACACACAAAAACGGTAGCAAAACAATCTAAATTTTGGGTCCAGAATCTAGAATTAAATTCCACTTTTATATTAATATATTTATTTATTATTTATCATTTTTATGAATTTGTGTTTTGATTAGAACATGTAAAAACATGTCAGAATAACTAACTAGAAAATTATAAAATCCTAGGCCTACTCTAGTCTATACTCAACCAACATACTGTCTATAGTAGATCTAGAGGCCATGCCATAGATATTATTATTAAATAGGCCTAATAAAAAAACAAGTTAATAAAAAGTCTAGTGACAATTTAAGCGCAATTTCCTTATGTTATCTAAAAATAGATCTGTCGTAGCGTAAAGCACACATGGGGACAAAACACAAGACTATAATGCTGGGGTGCGTTCAAGCTAGGAGAACGATCGGTTTGTAGGTGTTTATGTAATTTTTAAAAAAATTTTGTGACCGAATGAAAGGATATTTTTGAAAACTTTCTTCGGCAATATTGTTCTAAATTATGGCAGGAATCGATTGGTAAATGTTTCAAGTCGCTAAGTGGTCTGGTTGCCGAGATATGGGCCAAAAACTGCATTTTTTCGAGGTTTTTTTGGCTTTTCCGGGAAATCCAGGAAGGAATTCCAGGAATTTTTTTGGCCCACAATTATCCTCGGAACTTGCTTAACATATTTGCTTTTGGAACTAGTCCTTGATATTGCTTCGTTGAGGAGGAGATACAACTTAATTAAAGCTGCGGACACACATTGGACACACATCCATCCTTGACGAGTTAATAATCGCAATTGTCCGTATGGAAATTGCGCTAAAAAACAAACATAGGCTAGTTAGTTACACTCAGTTACACAGAATCGAGTTTAGTGTCACTGAGTGAGTTCAGTTTTGAGTTTAGGTCAGTTTAAAATTTAAAACTTGAGTTTAGGTCTTAGGACGACCGGTTTTTTTAAGCTACTTAACCCAAGATCAAGCTAATGTTTTGCGAATTACCTTTAATGCCTAATGAATTTAGCTAACTTACCAATTTCATGTTTACTAATTAGTTTACAATAAGATTTATCCAATAATATCGGCAGAAATGTAGATCTGGCTGTCAGAGAAATTATTAGGTTATTTATTTGTTATGGAGGTCGCCATATTGCCAATTAAAAAGAAATACGGTTAATTCTTCATCCGGTTATTTCGATTTAGACTTTACAATAAATATCGCAACTGCAAAACTAAGTAATAATGTTAATAGGCAGTGGCGTAGCGATAGGGCGGGGGTGCGGACCGCACCGGGTGACAACATTAAGGAGGCAAAAAATAGCAAAATATGTAGAGAAAAAAATGATAATTCCACTTAATTAAGTGATTAATTCGAGTGTTAAAAAGTCTTTTAAGAGCAAATTTGACAAATCCCGGGTGGAGGGGGGGGGGGGGGGGGGGGGGAAAGGTGCAAATCGAAAATTGAAAGTTTTGGCGCCGGTAAGGGTCACTACGCCTCTGGTGGATGACTCCATTAATTATGTGCCGACCTACGCCACTGATAATAGGCCTACAATTTTATATTAATACATCAACACATTTTTTACTGAAACATTTTTAATGTGAGAATCTAAATAAGCACAAAAACTTTGGAGACAATTTTAAATTAGATTTAGAAATATAGATCTATTAATCTATCTATCTATATGTAAAAAAAAAGTTTTTTTAAAATTGATATTAAAATATTTTATATCATATTCTTATTAATTATTAGTTATCTAAAGACAAAGAAGTATTTTTTTCCAATAATTATTTCCAGTATTTTATTACTGTGGTAGAGGAGTATTTATTTTCACCAGTTAGGCCTAATGAATTTAATTTTCTTTTGTGCTCACTATTATTTCAGATTTTATTAAAACAGCGATTAGTCATGTTTCCTAAACCAGTAGATCTAGATCTGGTATAATTTTATTAATATTTGATCTAGATATCTAGATCTAGATCTAGTTTTAAACATTTATTTTAGTAAGCTTGTTGTCAAAATGAGTGTCAAAATCACGCTGAGTCGAAATCCCCCCCCCCCCCCCCCCCCCAACTTTTAAGATATAAAACTAAAAAAATATAAAAATAAAAGATAAAGATTAAATTAGTCTGCAAATTTGAGATCTTTGAGTAGATCTAGATCTATATGCCTATCTATAAATTAATTATTTTATAAAAACAAAATTAGAATGTTTTGAGCTGTAGGAAATGTGTGAGTTTCTAATTTTTATATGTAGTATTCAGGTTGCGACGGACGCAGTTTTCGCAAACCATTTTATTTTTAATTGAATATCAAAACCTGCTTCTAAATAGAATAAAATAGACCTCTAAATTTTGTAATTTGATTTCACGATTTATTTTACAAATACTCTAGAGTAATCTTTATCATTCATGTTCATGCCGGCTTATATCTTAAATTGTTAAATTCTTAATAAATATTAAATAAATAAATAAATAATTAAATATTAGGGGCCTACTAGTAGTAGTTACTACTGGCCCATTTCTCATTTAAATTTTTGTAGTAGTAGTAGATCTAGTAATATTATAATCAAGATTCAAGTGCACTCAGACACTGTCAGTACTGTCTTAAGTCTTTAGTATTATGTAGTAGTACTTAGTTAATTAGTTAAGTTAATTACTAGTATTAGTAATTGAACTATTTCTATTAATATTGTGACAATAATTGTGTATTGATTGACTATTGTGTAAATGTGTATCATTCTTAACTTTATAATAATTTTGCTAATATTTATTATTTAAAAATATTTTTAGATTTTGGAGAATGTCTTCAGCTAAATCTTCACATGATGATGACCATCTGGATTTCATGAAACTAGAAAAAGAAGTAGTGAATGCTGTGATTAGTGATGAAAAATATTGGCGTGAGAATGATGCTAAGATAAGAGCTGTAGAACAAAGAGTGCCAACCTATGATGACTTCAGGTTTGTTCACTTCTATGTAATAACCTGTCTCATGTATTGTAAGCAAAGTTCCTCTATCAAACCTAGTGCAGATGAAGTAGGGTTCATGTTTCTTGACTTCAGATATCCGAACTCTAGATATTTTGGTTAGCAGATGAGTACTCTACACCCAGTCATGCTATCCCGTATCTACCAAATTGACACTGTTTTATATTTGCTGGATGTTCCGTGTTGAACCAAAAAAAACAAAAGATAAATGGTTTATTTAAGTAGGTTTAAGTGCTATCATTGGGTTTATTGCTAGGATTAAAGCTAGTAACTACAACTAGTGTTAGGCAAGATCATTTATCATTATCTGCTTAACTGATCTTCTATTATTCTATTAGGTATAATTTGTCATTTTTGTTTTTAGGAGAAAAGCTGTTCTTCCTTTTTAAACTTTAATTTTCATTAAGGGGTCATCCATAAATGACGTCACGCTTTTTTGGATGATTTTTACCCCCCCCCCCCCTAAAATGATTTCACACCTCAGCCTACAACCCCCCTCAAAATTGCAGTTGAATTTTTTTTTAAACATCCATATTTTTCTAAAATCTTATCTGAACCCTGTCAAAATAGAGTATTTTAATCAATTCCTATTTAAATTTATTAAAAAAGTTTTCTAAAACGCAAAATGTCTAAAATTCGTTTTCTAACATTGCTTTTTTATAATGCAAAAGTGTGATGTCGCACCATCTGAACCCCCCCCCCCCCCCCCCTCCCCTCATCACAAAATTACGGACCCCCTCCTTCCCCCTACGAGTGTGACGTCATTTATGGACGACCACTAATGCTAATAAAAGCTCTCAGCTGTTTATCGACAAAAAAACAAAATCATTTTACAAAGACAGCAAGATTTCTTTTTAATAATGTTGCCCCATTTTTTTTATTTTTAAAACAATTCCAGTTTTATTTGTATTACATATACAAAAGTAAATTATCTTTTTCATTTAGAGAAATGGTGTTGGCAGCACACTTGAAACCACTAGAGAAAGATGATAGAATCAGTTCTATAAAAAACTTTACTCAAGTGTGGAATCAAGTGGCAGAAAAATTTCCTAAATCGACAGAATCAGAAAACTTACTTAGCAACAATATAAATCAGGTTTGCTTTTGCTGAAATTTGGTTGATATTTATAATTTAAGCTCAATAAAAGTATATAAATATATATTATACACCAGCATAGTTGTCACATGTTGCTGTGATCTGGTGGTCCTACACACTAAAGTGATGAAACATATAAAAGTGTTTCATCAACTTGCTACCAATGGTGTATTTTAGGTGTGTGACCTTGTCTAAAACAGAGTTATTTAATTGTAAACAAAGCAGGCTCTATATTCCTTGGATCTTAACTGTTGGGGCGCATATTTGTAGTAATGTACAAAAGACAAACAGACCCACAGACATACATAATATAGCAAAGCATTTTATGATATTTAACTTTTAAGAAGACTTGTATACAGTAATTACATATAACTTTAAAATTTAAACAATTGATTATTGATCTGTTTTTATAAAGATGAAACATCTGTATTATTTTTATATTGTAATCAGTTTTTTGTTATAATTTACTTAGACTTGTCAAAATTTGCCAAAATCTGGACAAGAATTTGTGCAGCATTGGAAGCGCTACTGCAAAACTTTGATAGATAAAAAGGCATTTATCTTTTCTGTTGGTCCAAAACGGGCAGAAGAAATTTTTCATACAGAAATAAGTGGCGGACTATTGGGAGAGTTTGTCGAGTGTTTTCTACCAGTTGAAGATCAAGATACAGAAATGATCGTTGGTTTGCTTGAGGCATTTTCAAAATCACAAAGGTTTTCATTGTCTATGACTTTTCTTAGCAAAAAAGAGAAGGAATTTGTCAAGACATTATTTCAAGAATTAAGCAATAGACAAATGGTGTTAGAGAATGACATTTTGAAAAGTAAAATTTTGAAACTTCAAGAAATTTTCTCTTAAAACATAACCATACCTCACACATAACTATTGTTGTTTTGAACTTAATAAAGAATTTCAGTTAAGGTTATATTTCTGATTAAATTCAAATGACATCACATTAAACTTAGTTGTTTTTTAAAAATATAAATGTATTGTGATATGGTCTTTAATTATGTTTTTTAAGGTATTGTCTGTGTGTGTTAAGTCAGTTTCACTTTACAACTTTAAGCCCCTTTGTTGGAAGTTCATCATTAAAAAGAAAATAACACACTAAAATTCAAACAAGTACATTAAGTTCGCAAACAATTAGCATTTAAATGCAAAAAATGGTGCTAAAAAAGTAAAAATTTACTCAAACAAAGGTTATTTTAGATAACATCTTATCAAAAACGTTTTTAATGTCAGTAAGGGTCTACTAGGATAAAAGGAAGCCAACTTTTGCCATATAGTTTTATTACTTTAGTGATCATTAGTGTTTTTCAAGTTTCAAGGAAATAAATATCACATCTCACACTCTCTTAATCAAACTCAGCTTGAAGCCAAGATATATAACATTAAATTGATACATTTGTATGAATATGATTAATTCTTGTATGAATACTACACTACATAATTTGAAGTTACATGTTTTTTTATACAAAATTTCAACCACACCCTAATAAATGTAAATGTAAATTGCAAATGTAGCATAGCACATAAATAAGAAATTTTTACCCCATACCCCATACATCAAGATGTAAAATTTCCATAGATCAGAGGCGTCGCAAGGTGGGAGGGGGAGTGCGGACCGCATCGGGGGGGTGGGGGGGGGGGGGGTGACCAGTGGCGTAGCCAGGATAGTCTCAAGGGGGGGGGGTTCCAATTTTTACCCGGGGACAAACTTTCGATTTGCACCCCCCCTCAAACTTTCAATTTACACCCCCCCCCCCCTCATACTTTATATATCTATACCGAGGGGTCTATGGGGTTATGACCCCCCCTAACCCCCCCTGCCTACGCCACTGGGTGACACCATTTAGGGGGGGATGACACCAAGACAAAAAAAGTACAAGATATATAGAACAAAAATGTTTTTTTGCCAGGAGGGGATCACACCATGATGTAGACATACAAACTCTAGAGAAAAGAATTCTACATCAAGCTGTATTAACAGCGGGGTGGGGTCAAAACCAACTGCAAAATTTACAGAAAAAAAGGAGGGTTATACCATGAGGTGCCGCATCGGGTGACACCCAACCTAGTGACACCAGTGCCATAGATCACTACCCCTCATCAGTAGCGTACGCAGGGGGGGAGCAGGGGGAGCGGCCGCTCCCCCTCTGGCCATTTTCAGCAAAGTGGCGCCTTTTTGGAAACTTTTTAAACTCAGTTTTAAACAATGATATTTGTTAAAAAAAATTTGGTCGGCACATCTATGTAAATCACAAGATTTCTTTTCATGCAGCAATTAAGCATTATTGTACTAGTTTAGTAGTCTACGTTTACAACACGTATTAACAGCTGCATCAGTTTGCCATTCTAAAAATAACCATTACGATGCATTGCAATGTTTAAAAAACCTCTACGGTGGTACCACTTGGCAAGAGGGGTGTTAAGTTTAAAGCAACTGTATAATGTATTTGCGTACGAATAATTGAATTAGAAAATGTTATACATAAAACTTCACACATAATTACTTTATATATACAGTTTGAATCGTATGATTAATTAAAAAAAAATTACAATACAGAAACAAATACAATTGATGTGGCACCTCTATTTAAATTCACTTATGAGCAAACTGCGTAGTGGTGGGGAAATTTCGACGTCATCATGATGAATTAGTAGTATTCTTACAGTTTGGGCGATAGTGATTACGATTACAAATTATATGAAACAGTTACAACCCCCCTCCCCCATGGACCCCTCTGTAAAAAATATTGTCATAATACCACTGCTACTTATTTAAATCTATTTCTGTAATATATATTTGTGTAATATATATTTGTGTAATATATATGTATGTTTAGAACAGTCATCTAAAAACTGACGCTATGTTCACTCTGAGTTGGTTATCTCCCCCCCCCCCCCTCACCGCCACAATTGTGTAGAGCGACATTATTGTCACACCTAGGTATACACCGGGTTTTATAATTGACCTAAAGTGAACGGACAGTGGTGAATGAAGTCGAACCCACCCCCCCCCCAACCCACCCCGAACTGATCTGTTAAGTACATGTACAAAAACGCGTAATGATGTACCAACGTACCATGCCGCCAGAAAATGAGCTTTTTAAACGTAAAACTCTGTGAATATTGTTTTTGCAATTACCAGTAAACGCAGTTGTGTGATCAAAATAGTGATCTAACCCATACCTATCAATATGTTTCACAAATGATCTTTAAACAACACAAAGTAGCAGTAGTTAATTAAAATATATGATCTGAAATAAAAGACCGATATTTAGTTAAACGTAGGCTGTTATTCCGAATATTTTTCTAATCTATCGAAAAGCGTGGTTTTATACCAACTCTGATTTTAAAAACTTTCATTATGCTGTAATACTTTAGCATTTATGATGACGATTTATTAAATTCTGATTATAGACAAAAACATTTTGTAAACACGAATAGTGTTAAACAATTTCATTATAATCTAAATTAATTATTTATTTGTTTCGACATTTATAATTAAATATGTAGATATATACATATTTATATAAAGAGAATGATTATTTCCCCTATTTCACTTGTCTTAAATAATCTCCCAGGAATTATTATGTAAGAAATTTGTTTTACAAGAATTACAAAACAGATTGTGTTAAGTTCATTGTTTTTGGTTGTAGTGTATATATATATATATATATATATATATATATATATATATATATATATATATATATATATATATATATATATATATATTGTTTGTTTAGATTGATACAATTTTTGTTTTGTCGGCCTACACTGTGTTTTTTCTTATTTCTTCAGAGCGCTACTTTCAATTTATTTTACATCATAGCGAAGTAATGACATACAGCTAGTAATTATATATATATATATATATATATATATATATATATATATATATATATATATATATATATATATATATATATATAATACACGTATATAGAACGTGTTAAAAATGTGGCGCCTTTTTTTGCTCTTTTCGCTCCCCCTACAACGAAAACCTGGATACGCCTCTGCCCCTCATATTATAAATTATAGTAAATTATACTATTTCTAGGAACCAACGCTTGCTATTTCTATTAGTAACTATTACAGAATATTTTTTTTTTACATTAGGAATTTTAAAATAAAAATCATGTATTAAACCTTTATTATAAGTAAATATAACACCAATTATTATGTTAACATATTAATCCCACCATTCTAAAGTATATTCTCTAATCAGATGGGGTAATTTCAAAATGCTTTTTCAAATATTATGTATAGATCTAGAAGACTAGTTTATGTGGACTAAAAAAAAAAAAGAGGCATTTTTTTCTTAACATTATTAATTAATTATTTGAAGATATTTATTTACATTTTCAGGTCTTTTATAAAAACGCAAAATAACTGCTAAAATCAGTTTAACGATAAATTTAAAAAATGCAAGTGTGATGTCTCAGTGTCATTAAAAGAGAGTGACATAACATTTTTCATAGTTACAGTGAAAACAGTGTTTTATCCCGTTAAGAGTGATGAAATATTATTGGAGAGGGGAGATAACAAGCCAAAAACGCAAAATTGTTGGATGGAAGGGGGATGTTGACTTAGTGACACCTTTATATTTTTTACCCCTCCATTCCCCTCTTGGTTACACATTTACACAAATACGGATCCCTCCCTTCCCCGAGTTTACACAAGCGACATGTATGCCTATACTATAGCCTACATATCTATAAAAAAAAACCAGACAATTTAATGTTAATTGGAAATTTTTTCCCACGGAACTTATAATATATATAGGCCTGATTGCTAATAATTTTTTTCCTAGACATTAAGTATAGTAGATCTGTACTTCATGTCGCAAGTGTAAACGCGGTGTTACATGATTTTTGGAAGACCTCCATATATTTTTGCAAATTTGTTTAAATAACATAATACTAACAATAGTTTTTAAAAATTAAAAAAGTATTGTAAAAGGAATCGAAAAATCGTTCAACAAAAGCAAAAAACGTAAACGGTGAGATTGGAAACGCACAGTCAGTTGTTTAATTTAAACAAGTTTAGATGAACAGTCAAGACATCAGATCACATCTCTAAAATTGGAAAAAAACAAAACAAATTGGATATGTATAGGGCCTATATATATATATATATATATATATATATATATATATATATATATATATATATATATATATATATATATATATAGACATATATATTCTAAGCAGGTCAATAACCGTTGATCGAGTTTTAGATCTTGATTCTCTTTCAGGTCTATATCTAACTTGTTCTCAAATAAATCATTACAACAAATTGCATTGTAATTATTAGTGTGGAAATGACGCAATCTAACACGCGTGTTCAAAATCAAATAACGCAATTTCTCGTTTAACTGCGTCTATTCTCGTGAGATTGGTTGTTCAACAAGAGGCAAAATGTCGGACGTAGAAATGACAAACGCGGAGATTTCTCAAGAATGTGAACCGAGTGAAGAGTCAAATGAACAAGAGGCAGATATAACAGAAGATCAGTGAGTCTAAACCATTTTGTAATCTTTTTAATTTAATTCAATATTCTTAAAATGGGGCGTATCAAAGTTGGTTTAATAGACGACTTTCGTTTTCTAAATGGAAAGACCTAGAATAAATGGTCCATTTTTTCATATCCGCTTTTATTTTTAGCTAAAAGACGAAGTTAGATCCACCCGATTTTATAATAATTAAATAATTAGCTTATATTATTGCTCTTAAAATATAGGCCTAATTGACTGCATTTAAAATTTGACCACATATTACGTTGTATTATTAGAGTAAATCAAGATATTTTGTCTAGTTTTAGAATAAGAAGGCCCTAAAAATTTACATCATGAAAAATAAAATTAAACAGGAGGCCTGTTACTAAGTTACTGGCTGTTAGATCTAGTCAAGGCCTAATTGACAATTGACTTAGTTAAATTTAATCTAGCCCCTAAGCCTATATTCTAAATATAGGTCTAGAAGTTAAATTAAAATCTTATTTGTAGCCTAATCTCTGTCACTTAGTTTCTAATTCTATTTAGATTAGAATATCTCTAGAATCTAGATCTACTATTTTTTTTCATTGAGCTTTTATAATAACTAGAATCTAGATCTAGATCTACATCAATTCATGGAGCCTGTAGAGTCTAGATTTAAAGAAAACATTTAGCTTATATTGTAAAAATCATTATTTTCAGATCTCAAGACATAGCTGAGGCAAAAAAAGAAGAAGGCAACAGTTTTTACAAAGATCATAAATATTCAGAGGCACTTGCTTGCTACACAGAAGCCATAAGTAAGACAAGTTTCATCTTTGAATAGTCAAATATTTAGTGCCTAATTTTAATAGGCCTAATTATTTTAACTGTTTGTATTATGTACTGACTACAGCTGCTCAGAAGAATAAACACTTGCCAGCATGCTTGATTTAGGGTTAAGAATATTGTTGTAATTAGTTATCATCACCCGTTCAAAAATGCAAATACAATTTCAAGTGGCTTGTTGTATCAAGGAAATATTTTTAATGTTAAATTTTGCAGATTTGTGTCCTAATTGTGCTGCTTATTATGGGAATAGATCCGCAACATATATTATGCTTCAAAAATTCAAAGATGGTTTAGCCGATGCTCAGTATGCTCTACAATTAGACACTGGATTTGTCAAGGTGTGTAATATTTTACTTTTAAATAACATGTTAAGACTGGTTTGTTTTGCTAGAAACATTCATTTTACAGATTGAAGTACCTTATTTTTTGTCCATTTTTGTTGTTTTAGGGATATTTGAGAGAAGGGAAGTGTCATTTAGCATTAGGAAGTCCAGTTGCTGCTCTTAGAAGTTACAGACATGTGCTTGAGCTTGAACCTAACAACACTGTTGCACTTAAAGAGGTGTGTCTTGTGCATTAATAGTAAATGTTTTTTAAAAAACTATATTTAAACTTGACTTAAACCTGGATTCAAGCACGTTTGCATTTGACATTGTTGTTTTTAAATTCTCAGGCAAACATAGCTTCACAAGTGCAAGAGCATATAGCAAAAGCAGAAGCTAATTTTGAAAAGAGGGATTATCGAACTGTAAGTTTAATTAACACAAATCGTTTCCAAGATGGAATTCAATTAATGACAAATGATATTCAATGTTTAGAATAACTATTGTTTCATTGCAGGCTATTTTTTACCTTGATCGCTGTATAGAACATTGCAGTGCTGCCTTGCACTTCAAAGTCCAAAAAGCTGAAGCATTAGCTTTATTGGGTAAATATCAAGAAGCGCAAGAACAGGCAAAGTAAGATAGTTTCTTATTTCTAATTCTAATGAAAATTTGGTGTGTATATAAATATGCATTTGTTAATAAACAGATTGGCTCAATACATTTGGCTAATGCATTTTTTTCTGTCATTTTAGTGATATTTTACAAAGAGAAGGAATGAATGCAGATGCACTATATGTAAGAGGTATGTGTCTGTACTACCAAGACAGCACAGAGAAAGCCTTCCAACATTTTCAAGAAGTTTTACGAAGGGCACCAGATCATCATAAGGCAAAAGATATATACAGGGTAATTAATACCTTTTCTTTATTTAATACTTACATGTTAAAGTGTCAGAAAAATTTTCCTTCCTTGTAAACATTAAAGTTGAGCAACTTTGTTGTTGATACAACATATAATGTGCTTCACATAAAAATATGTTGAAACATTTACAAAAATTACCTTCAATGCTATTGAATCTGTAGCCTTTACCTGGGCTGTGTGCTGCTGCATCACCTTGAAACCAGAAGAAATGTAGGGAATTTTCATCACATGCTTAAGCTAGAAAGGTTATGTCAATAGGAAATGATGAAATATCAGGTATTCTTCAATGGTACCAGAGAATCTAGTAGCAGGGGTAAAATCTATTAAATAAAATATTTTATTGGGTACTCCAAACTGATTTTTCAGTTCTAACATATAAATGATGTGCTTTTCTGGATTTTATCTCCCTTTTCAATTTGTAGAATAAGTACCAGATCTTAAAAACTTCGATATGCTCATCAAATGAAAGACTAGAACAATTAAACCTTAAATTATTTTTTTATTCCTGTAGATTAATTGTATGTAACATAAATTTTGTCCTACATATCATACTTCATCAGTAAATGTATAGATTTTAAAAAAAACCCACAAAAATCACCAAATTAACAAAAAACCTATATATCACACCCTCAATATTTCAAAGTTATATAAAATTTCTGAAGAAAATGTCATTACATGTATAATAGTTTTACTATAATTTAATTGTAAGTTATTTTGTTTAATATGAAAATGGGTAATCTTCTTAATCATGGTTGTAAAAATTTGTGTTGAAAAGGGTCTTGGCAAAATTTAATTTCTCATGGCCTAAAAATTTAACCATTCTGTACCTTTTATTTGAGATTTAAAGATAATTTCATTCCTTTGCAAATTATGTAATTTTTTTAGTTCAATACACACAAACATTTTTTTTTTTCCATTTTTCAGTTTGGAGTACTTATCTTTAGCAATTAAATTCTGTACTAATATCAGTCTTTCCTTTCAGAATTGTAATAAGGTGATAAAATTAAGAATCTTTGTATGTTTTATGGTTTAAAAAAAATTATCATAAAGGTTGAAATTTTAATAATTTTACTTTCTAGAGAGCTAAAGCATTGTCAGCAAAAAAAGATGAGGGAAATTCAGCTTTTCGCGCAGGGAAATACCAAGATGCCTACAATTTGTATTCTGAAGCTTTGAATATTGATCCTAATAACAAGTCCACCAACTCCAAACTTTTCTGCAACAGAGCAACAGTATGCTCAAAGGTTGGTTATTATTTTTTATGTAGTATTATCATTCCTTTTTGGCTGCATAAAGCTGAAGAGTTAATCATTATGTGGCAAAAAAACGACTTTGCAAAACTTGCCCTAAAAATTGTAACAGAGCTTTTGAAATCCTTTTTACAATTTTTATATATTATATATTTTTTTAGCTAAACAAACTAGACGAAGCAATCCAAGATTGTTCTAAAGCAATTGAACTGGATGATACATATCTCAAAGCTTACATGAGAAGAGCTAAATGGTAGGTCACTTAATTAATTACTCATACTTGATACCCATGCATATGTATGTGACAAAATTTATAGTTTCTCTAGTACATGGATCTGATACCCTCTGCAGCTTCTCCTGGATAGTTAAAACATAAGCAAGTTCTAAAATAATTAGGATCATTCAGATTGAGACATGCACTTTTATCAAAGCTGTTTAATATGTATACATATAATGCATAGTGGTAGATATGCTCAATGTGTTAATTATTGCTATTTTAAGATTGATGATGTTAAGTATATCTTTTCCCATTCATGCCTAAAGGTAGATGAAGTAGAGTTATTTTGTTTTATAGATCTGTAATAGCGTGTATATTTGGATATTTAATTTTTATATTTACTCATAATAAGCACAATAAAATTCATTTTTAAGCTACACTGATACAGAACTGTATGAAGAGGCTGTTAGGGATTATGAGCAGATCTACAAGATGGCCAAAACCAGAGGTAATAAACAAAGCATCTATACTCTCTAATTATGCCATAATATGTAGTATTAATACTGAACTCCATACTTCTTTTGTAGTTTGTTGTATACTTTGAAATAGATTAGTTTTTATAGTCTTAATACATTTTCTGTTTTCTCAAATAAACAGAAAATAAAGCACTCTTGCAAAATGCCAAGCTAGAATTGAAAAAGAGTAAAAGAAAAGATTACTATAAAATTCTTGGTGTCCAGAAAACAGCCTCAGAAGATGAAATTAAAAAGGCTTACAAAAAGCGTGCTTTGATACACCATCCAGGTATTTTTTTTTTTTTCTTAACTAGTTAAGAGAGTTTTTTTCTGTAGCCTCATTATGTATATTTTAAAAGTTTTTTTACTCATGTGCTCATTATTTTATGTTGTTACAGATCGACATTCACATGATACTGTTGATAAACAAAAAGAAGAGGAGAAAAAGTTTAAAGAACTTGGAGAGGCCTATAGTATTTTGTCAGACGCCAAGAAAAAAGCTAGATATGATAGTGGGCAGGATTTGGAAGAAGGAGAAGGCATGGGTGGCTTTGGTATGTATAATAATTTCTGATAATGTACTGTCTTTAATTCATTACATTATTTTGATTTAAAACAAATTAGATATAACAAAGTTTCATCTAATTTTATGTGTATTTTAAAGATGTATGTGCTGATCCAATACCATTTTGTCCCTCTAGATGTAGATCCAAATCAGATCTTCCAAGCATTTTTTGGAGGTGGAAACATGTCTGGATTTAGCTTTGGTGGTCACCCAGGCGGACACTTCAACCATGGAGGCCACTCACACAATGGAGGATTCCCTGGATTTTCTTTTCAGTTTGGTTGATGTCACTTTTAGTTAGACATCTTTGCCTCACCTTCTCGGTTGTACATGCTCCCCAGGTTTTATATCCCAGGTCTTGATGTTAGAACAAAATGTAGGGGAAGTAACTACCTGACACTCTGATAGACTAAGGTGTTGAGTTGTCCACTCTGCTACTGTGTAATGTTAGTTAGGTATACAATTGCAGACCTTAGGATATACAATTATAAAACTCAATTTTTTGTGTTAACATCAAGATTTGAATGTCCTTTGTAAATACTGGATGAATATGATAGTATGAGTGTTGTAGTGTGGTTTAATAAATGGGTTTTGAATGAATGTTATAATGTTAATGTGTGACAAATTAGTTATGCTTGAAAAAATGTGTGATGTTAACAAGAGATTGGTTGTTGTGATGTGATGAAACATGTAGAAAGTGTTAGATGAATGCATCTTTAAAAGACAATGACTACTGAATTTTAAGGTAACAAGTGTATTTTTGTGCACATTCAAATGACTATTTATTATGCTATTTGTGTGCTGACCAGATTATGGTCCGTGCACATGTACAAAAGTGGCAGCATCACTGTTTTCAGTGGTGTGCAGTCAGTCTGTTAATTTGGTCAGAGTGAGCTCTAGCCAGCCTGATGACATTGACCCAGCTATATTTCCTTGTCATTCCTATTACTATTGCATAATGTATGTGCATGCTGATGAATCAGTCACCAGATATTGCTGTCCTAATTAAAATGTAGACTCAATTAGTGTGTGATTACTTTCAGTTCAGTCTTCAACTCAAACATGTTGTTTCTGTAGGAAGAAAGTCATTTTGTGTGTATAATAAAAAATAAGCTGTTGATTTTTTCAAATGTTTTAGGGCTGATACTTTGTTCCACCGCAAGTTAGAGACTTTATTTATTGCAAGAAGCTAGAGAGTTGTGATGAATGTTGTTTGCGTGCTCATTTTTCATTGACAGCTCATGCGTGTATTTTATAGAATAAATTACGTGAAGTTTAATATAACATTGTGACTCAAATCTGTCTAAAGCCATGATAGCTAAAAAGTTGTTAGAGTGTGGATCAAAGTTTTGATGTGAATAATTTTTACATCAGTTGAACAATGTAGTGTAGAGTTTGATGTACAGTACCCAGTAACAAATAGGGTGACGTGGTCGATCATTGTTTGCTGACTGGCAAAAATTGCATTACCTGGGATAAGTCTGTAGTATGTCCTTAAGTCCATCCTCCAGCTTTCTCTGGCAGCTGTGGAAAGTATATGGATACTGTGGATAACTTGAGTTTTTAAATGTTCTTAGCAATTTTTTAATTAACTGAAAAAAGCTGGTTTGATTGACACCACAGATATAAGAACCAATGTTAATTTAAACAAAGCAATATAATACAATTGCATGGTGTTTTAACACAGATTACATTGCTTTTAACCAGGCAACTCAATGTTGTGTTTAAGCAGACACTACTGTCTAGTTGTGTTGTAACTTGTGACAGAAAGCAGCTCTAAGCAAACTGATACTTGTCTGCTGTTTTGTCAGAAAAAATAAACTAGCTAGATTTTCTATTGTAAGCACACTCTATACACTGTAGGTTTGAAGAGGTTCCAAAAAATCCTTGTTTTCAACCTACTTTGTTCTGCCACTGTACTCTGTGTGTACATTATTTTTAAGGCTTATTGTAGTTAGATTGGGCCTGCACCACATAGCTATTTTTTTGTTATAACTTATCTCATGCCGGTAGCTACAATGTATAGTTTAAGGTGAATGTATTTGTAAATTGTGGCTTGGGTAATCACAATTTTTAGAAATACACAGATGTGCTAAATAATGCCATCTTGGTAAAGCTGTTAAAATATAACCGGTGACAAGCCAGGAAATTGTCTCGCCATATGTATAGTTGTACCCAAATAATGCTTGCTGTGGGTGTCAGGATCAAGCTCCTGACAGTCAGTGTCAGCATCTCTGGCCAGTGTTGTACTGTGAGTTGTCAGTTGATGACACTGCCAGTTGGCCCAAGTACACCATCTCTCATTTCTGCAGATGTGAAACTGTTGTGTGCACATTTGATTGTGGTCTACAAGTACTACAGTAGTAGTTTGTCTCTGAAATACATTTTTTTAGTTGAATTTCTATTTTTTTCTGCAAATTTGATATATTTTATTCCTTGACAAATATTTGTATAAATGTATGGACTGTACAGTAAGAATATTTCATAAACTATCAAAGTAATAAGTCTTTCTTGGTTGGTTTTTTTTTTTTGTGACATTTTTTTATCCTAATTACTATTTTAATGAAGTATTTAAGTCTATCTTAGCATGTTAATTTTTTTCTTTGATGTGTGGATACTGAGCTATGAACCTGTTCAATTAAACTTCAAAGTTTGTCAATATTTTAACTAAATCCTTTTTTAAATTCAAGTTAAACCCTTATAGAACCTAGTCCTAATTTTAAGTTTAAAATTTAAAAAATCAGCTTGCTGTGTACTTAGGTCAACAAGTGCTATGTGTTAAGTTTGCAAATTTAGTCAGCTGGGTTGATCATTTAGAGAATTATGAGACCCCAAACTGATTGTAGCATCTAGGAAGAACAAAACAAGTAATTGAAAATGGTTCCACTCTACCAAAGAACTGCTCACTAACAACACAACAAAGAAACAAAAAAACAGCATACTACAGTGAAACAACAGTTTATGAAAAGCCATTTAATGATTTATCCACATTTGAGAGTTCTAGATCACCAAAAAGATAAATTTAAGCTGAAAGTTTGTGGATGTTGATAGAAATATCAGAGATGTCAAAAAAAAAAGCTGATTTACATCAAACTGGTGGCAGAATTTAGAAAATTCCCCCCCCCCCTCTTTTTTTCTGCCTATAAATAGTATAAACGTTTGAGTCCCTATTTGTATTATATATATATATATATATATATATATATATATATATATATATATATATATATATATATATATATACACACCCACTGAATACTGTAGCGAAAATAGGAAGTCCAACAACGAAAGTCAGTTATTAAATATTGGAAAAAATAAAACTCCGTACATTAATCAATTTTTCAAATACTGTATTGAACTTGATTTGGGCGCCTTAAATCGTTACTCCCTTTGCATTAATTCATTAATCAATTAATCCTTCTCAAAAGTACCAAAGGGACGTAAACGGTGTTAAGTGTTAATAAATAAAAATCAAGGGACAAAATTATCCCAGAGTATTGTCCGCTTCAGTTCCATATATGCATTACTTCCCTTGGATTAACACAAACGCCTACCTTCACTTATACTTCAATATTTTATGTTTCTCGTTTTCCTCAACATGATATTGTAACAGACCGTTCACTTCTCTGCGATCCCGAAATGAATAACAGTTAAAATTTATCCGCCGAATCGCTCATCCGTCAACATTAATTTACATAAAATAATTTTATTAATACAGATTTAAATCCGAACAGATCTAGTTGCTGTATTCTTTTCATTTTTCACAGGAAACAGCGTTTTAACTTTAACCTGTGTCAGCGCCCCCCCCCCCCACCCCGGGAAAAAATCCTGGAGAAAGGGAATCATATCTAGGACTAATACCCTAATTTCTTATTAGGATTCCACAGAAGTTTATACCACAAATGATAAACCAATAGTATCAGCCTGCTTGCTTGCAGCTTAAGCCTCACGCCCTGCTACTACTATAGAGGTCTAGATCTATATTAGATCCAGTGGCGTAGCGAGGTCGGGTGTCACCCGGTGCGGCACTTAATGGTGTCACCCCCCCAGAGGCATAGAGACCCTTCCCAGGGACAAACTTTCAAATTTTCGATTTGCACCCCCCCCCTCAAACTTTCGATTTGCACCCCCCCTCAAGTTTTCGATTTGCACCCCCCTCGAGTTTTTCTCTATATATTTTGCTATTTTTTGCCTTGGTGTTACCCCCCTAAATGGTGTCACCCGGTGCGGTCCGCACCCCCTGCCCCCACCCCTCGCTACGCCCCTGATTAGATCCCATTACTTTTTTCACACGAACCGACCACAACAATCGTGCGATATTAGACATTATAGGGCTACTTTTACAAAATGTGATTTAATCTTATTTGCTTTGAAAGACTTATAATTTAGAAATAAACCCAGCCATACCCGTTTCGTCCAGTTTCTTTCAGGTATCTCGGGGGGGGGGGGGGGGGGCACTGTTTCTCGAAGCACTCCTACTTTTACCAAAGTGTCGTCCCCCCTCCCCTGGAGAAAAAATGCTGAAAGAAACACTGGTTTCGTCTCAGGCAGATCTCAGAGCACACACAAAAAAAGATATAGAATCTAGATCTCTAGGCCTATCTATAAAGTATAAAGATTTGCGCAGTGTGAAACACATTACATAGGTCTAAATTTTGTCAAACATTTTATTACACATTTTAATATTTTAAATAAATAGGCCTATTTCAAACACCATTATATCATAATTAATATAACAAAAACTTTCCTATTCATTTGAATGAATGTGTATGTAGTAGATCTAGACTAGATCTAGTCTAGAATCCATGTAGATCTAGTCTAGAATCTAGATTTATCACGAGATTCTAATCTAGATCTATCATTTCAGCTTTAAAAAAAATTTCATAACCGTTTAAAAACATTAAACAAAAGTGACAATATTAGAACCTAAACATGTGATTTAAATTAGTGATTCATGTGCCAAATGCTTAAAACTAAGATAGTTAATTCAAGGAAAAGGGATTCAATGAAATAAATCTAGATTCTAGATCTAGAATCTATAAGCAAAACGTAAGGATTTAACGTTACGGACGACCCACATCTTATAGTTATGCTCGTATCGTTATGTACAGCTAACAACAGCCAATAAAAGGCCAAGTGTGTTCATGACGTCAGCGTAATGGCAGCCGACTTGATTTAGGTAAATCACCAGTTGCTTAAAAATTGGACTTGTTGCTTTCATTTGTGTAAAAACTATTCTAAGAAACTTGGATTAATAAGCTATATTTCTTTTCTGTGAAATTGGATTATAGATACATGAACGAAAAGTTAATTGGATTATTTATAAATCTTATGAGTGTGTGAAATTGGCCTTTCTTTGCCGATGTCCTCGCGAGGTCTTCTTTCACCAGCAAAGTGTGTTATTCGCAACTCATTTATCGGTCTTGTTTATCTGGATGCACATTCCTGGGAATAGAGAGCTCTCATATTAGAAGCTAGATCCTCTAGGCCTAATCCTTTATTGAAATAACATCAATTTATGTCTACATTAATGTTAAAGGTATAATGATGATGAAATTTTTAATTTTAGAATTTTATTTAATAAGAGAAGAGGTCTGTCTTGACTCTTGATGATCCAGGAAAAAAATATTAAAAAGTCGATGGATCGACCTATTTTTTTTTAGTAATATTTAATTTAGGCCCTAACAGTAATATTTTTTATTTAGGCATAACCGGCCATAACCTAAATAATAAATATGCCTTTAAAATAGAATTAGATCTAGAGATCTAGGTCAAGAACAGATTTGCCTAAATCTTTTTTATTGAATTACACTAGATCTAGAATCTAGATTCTATAATGAAATGGTAAATACTAAAATAGAACCAAGAATCCAGTAGACCTTACTAACAAGTTAACAACTTAACGAGTACAACTAGTGAGGTAGATCGAAATAATAAATCTAAGTAGAGGCCAAATATTAAACATTCAATCTGACTCACGAGTCATTCATTATTCAATAGATCTAGAGATCGAGTCTACTTAAAATATCTTTTTTCTAAAGGTTCAAGTAAAAACAAGTAATGACATTCGTTTAGTGTTGAGAGCACAGAGACATAGCTTTTAATTCGCATTAGAACTCTGAGCCTCTTTTAGCTTTATGATATATTTTACTTTTTGGACACTTTATTTCTATTAATATTTGTTCATGTACCTTAACTTAATCTTTTATTTATTATTGAACACTTAGGTATATTTAATTGTTATTAAGCCCCAGAGGGTGGCGGGGGTACATGTCCCCGGGCGCCAACCGTAGGGGTGCATAAATAAGATCATTTTGCTATTTTGAATTATAAATAATATATGGGGGGGGGGGGGCACCAGGATGGGTCGCTACGCCTCTGTTAATTTAAGCCCTCAGGTTTTCTTCACATCAGATCTTCACAAATCGTTACTGAGAATTTTTAAACCCCTTTTTTAAGGAATTTTTAGTTATACGTTTCATAATTATTAGGCCTATATCATTTACAAATAATTTGTAGGAAATGTTTAGTTATGCTGAAATGGCGTTTAGTTATGCTGAAATGGCGCTTATACTCCATAGTCTATAGTGTCTGTACCTCTGTTATAATATGACAATGTCAGAATACTCTAGACTATAGGTCTACATTAAGTATTACTATTTTATTTTCAATTCCAACATCAGCCTCAACCCCTTCAATACCTGGTATTCATATTTGTGAATGTATAAAACATTAATTACTTTAAAATTGATTGAAAAATAAGTGATCACTGCACAATGATTGATTATAATTTGTTTATATTACGACCTTTCAAACATTTCTCTGAAAAATTATCATTATAATTTTATATAGGCCTAAATAATAACACTTAAACACACCAAAATGCAACATTGCTTTCTGCCCTGCTTTTAGATTTTAAAAAAATCTCATAACTTAAAATGTTTTTTTTTTTTAAATCTCGTTTCTTAAAATGTTTTTCAGATTTTTATATTTGAAAAGCAACTTAATGACTGTTAAGTCTACTATAACTGATATTTATAAAACCTGTTGCACTAGACAGGCTACACACTGTTTTATCCTGAAGTTGGAGTAAAGCTTAAACATTATCTTGGTTTTGTCAGGCCCATCCATGAACCTTGAGCCACTTATAGTGTTAGTGTAGTTTATTGTTGTGTGTAGGGAGTGGTTAGTAGGTGAATCTGTCCTCTATCATTTTTATTTTTTACCCTATTTTATCAGGTTTCTGTAAATTCTAAGAACATATTTTAATACTTTAAAATAAGAGAGGCTTCTACATGTGTTTATATGGAGAACAAAACTACATTACATTTCCTAGGCTACAGTAGATATGACATTTGTTTCAGTTATTTGCCACAGGATGTAGGTAATTTACTGTAGCTGTGTTATCACTTGTTAACATCCTGTCTCCAAGCCCTTGTTTTTAAAATACATTTTTAGAAAAAGGGGCTGTTTATTTATGAGAAACTTGGTTACACTATACAGTGTAATATTAAACAAACGAGAAAAATGGCCCGTTGAGGAAGGATACACCGGGCGCTAGGTTGATAGTGCTGTCTCTTTTCTCTAAACTAAAACCAACCCACCCCCCACACCCCCCACACACACCACCCCCCCACCCCACCCACCACCCCCCCCACCCCCAAAAAAAACATGTCTACCGTCCCATTCAACGAAATATAATTATATACTTTTTCCAGTGTCCGCCCCCTCCCAGAAAATTCTACCCCCGCCCCAGAAAATTTCAAGTACCCCCACCCCTCTCTGGGGAGGAAAAAGTCTGAAAGAAACACTGAAACCAACCCACCCCCCCACACACCACCCCCCCACCCCCCTCCCCACCCCCACACACCCCCCCCCCCCCCACACCCCCCCCCACCCCTCCACCCCCCCCCCCCCCCCCCCCCCCCAAAAAAAACATGTCTACCGTCCCATTGCAAGAAAACCACTTTTTAGATTAGACACATTAATTAGGCGGTAATTTTATTATAGAGTATCGATGAGGAAATTTCTTTTGAGTTGGGGAGGGGGGGGGGGCTCAGACGTTCTTACGCGGGGGGTGGGGCTTCGCCCCTACCCGAAGAATTGTATGCAAGAAACTCTTCACGCAAACCATTTAGATTAGACAACATTTCCTTTTTTTCAATGTTTACGCGAGAATCAATGACGTCATTACATTACTGTGTGCACTCTCTGGTTTGAGATTATGTTCTACTCTACGCTAAATGTGTCGACGTCATATTTCGTTTTTCGAATTACTGTGCATGTTTTTAAATTGCTTGTGTTTTCTCTAGAGCGTTCTTGTCAGACAGAGCGTTCTTGTCAGATAGACAGACAGCGAAACTATTATTATAGACGAGAAAAATGGCCCGTTGAGGAAGGGTACAACGGGCGCTAGGCTGATAGTGCTGTCTCTTTTCTCTAAACTAAAACCAACCCACCCCCCCACACCACCCCCACCCCACCCCCGCACACCACCCCCACCCCCACCCCCACCCCCACCACACACCACCCCCACCCCTCACCCCCACACACCACCCCCTCCACACACCGCCCCCCCACCCCCCCACCCCCCCAAAAAAAAACATGTCTACCGTCCCATTCAACGAAATATAATTATATACTTTTTCCAGTGTCCGCCCCCTCCCAGAAAATTCTACCCCCGCCCCCGAAAATTTCAAGTACCCCCACCCCTCTCCGGGGAGGAAAAAGTCTGAAAGAAACACTGAAACCAACCCACCCCCCCACCCCCCACCCCCACCCCCCCCCCACACACCACCCCCCATCCCCCCCCCCACCCCCCACCCCCCACCCCACACACCACCCCCCCCCCCACCCCTCCACCACCCCCCACCCCCCAAAAAAAACATGTCTACCGTCCCATTCAACGAAATATAATTATATACTTTTTTCAGTGTCCGCCCCCTCCCAGAAAATTCTACCCCCCGCCCCCGAAAATTTCAAGTACCCCCACCCCTCTCCGGGGAGGAAAAAGTCTGAAAGAAACACTGAAACCAACCCACCCCCCCACACACCACCCCCCACCCCCCTCCCCACCCCTACACACCACCCCCCCCCCCACCCCTCCACCCCCCCCCCCAACCCCCCCAAAAAAAAAACATGTCTACCTTCCCATTGCAAGAAAACCACTTTTTAGATTAGACACATTAATTAGGCTGTAATTTTATTATAGAGTATCGATGAGGAAATTTCTTTTGAGTTGGGGAGGGGGGGGGGCTCAGACGTTCTTACGCGGGGGGTGGGGCTTCGCCCCTACCCGAAGAATTGTATGCAAGAAACTCTTCACGCAAACCATTTAGATTAGACAACATTTCCTTTTTTTCAATGTTTACGCGATAATCAATGACGTCATATTACTGTGTGCACTCTCTGGTTTGAGATTATGTTCTACTCTACGCTAAATGTGTCGACGTCATATTTCGTTTTTCGAATTACTGTGCATGTTTTTATTTTGCTTGTGTTTTCTCTAAAGCGTTCTTGTCAGACAGAGCGTTCTTGTCAGACAGAGCGTTCTTGTCAGATAGACAGACAGCGAAACTATTATTATAGATTATATTGGTTTTATTATATTATTTGTTATACTATGTTAAAATGCTCTCAAATCCCCCCCCCCCCAGTTGTTTCTTTCTTTTTAACATGTTAGCTGAAAGTAAATGGTTGTTTACTTGTGTTCAGTCAACACATATTTCCAAATATGCATTGATTGTCATAACTAGTATATTACTCCATATGCTATTGCTAATACATACCATTTCATATGATACATTAAATTAAAAATCTATGGGTCTTATTATATTTTTAAAAAAAGGTTATCAAAAGCTTTAAATTGTTTCTTACATATTATAAGACACCCACACTTGGCTGTCCTTTGGGGGGGGGGGGAGCTGTAGTCTTAAGCAACTTAATTTGTACAGAATGTTTATGGTTGATGTAGTTACTAGCCTATGCTATTTGTTTTTGTTCTTTTAAAACTTATATAAATGTTCAGTAGGTTGTGTTTTACTGTTGTAAGGGTGTGTGTGTGTGTGCTATTTTTAGAACACCAACCGTCTGGAATAGACGCGACCTTTTGCGAAAATTTTAGGATGAATAAAAAGTGGAACCGGCTGAATCAGCGATCATTTTCGCTTTGTTAGTTATCATACCCTGTTGAAATAGCCACTTATGCAATAGTTTAGTTTTTTAAAAAATGACACCCAGACCCAGTGGGGACTTGCAAATTACTTCCCCTTGATTTTACTCGCTCGTGTGCTCCAATTGTAATCTCTCTCTCTCCTTGTTTTCCCCTGGCCCGGTCTGCTGCAGTGTTGTGAAACAATCTGTTCAGCGTTACTTATCGAATGTATTTATAGCAACTCCCACCAAATGAGTTATTTCCGCAAATAGCCGGGCCATTGAAAGCTAGCGGTCACATCTAGGATGTATGTAGTGTAATTAGGCTAGTCGTGTTGCCATGGTTAAACGATTTAGGCTATGGCTGGCAGTTAGTGTCTGGAATAA